CCCCACCAGGGTAGATGACCTGCAGGTGTCCGCCTCAGCCACGTGTGTCAAAGGCACCGGGGAAGTGATCGGGCAGGTCCAGCAATGCATCGCAGATGGTACCATTGTCATGCACATGGAAGGCTTGAAGCTTTCGCCTCTCGAAGAGGCCGGCGAGGCAGGAAAGACCGACGACCTTGAAACCACCGCCCGCCTGACATGGGGACCACATATCGACTTCTTGGATGCCAGCACGCTGATCAAGCCGTCGTTTCCTCGGCATTTGTACACGCCGGCTTTGGACGAGCTGGCTCGGCTAGGTATGATCTACGGCAGTCGGCGCATCAAAGATGCTAGCACGCCGGTGGCGCATATGCCCCTGTATCGCGACTGGATGAACCGCCAGGTGGAAGCAATGCGGCTTGACGAAAAATGGTCCACCTTCCTCGCCCTTGAGGATGAGGCCCTTGTGGAGAGGATCGAACGACTGGTGCAACACCTGTCTGAGACGCCCGTCGTCGACTGCGCCATCGGCCTCCAGAAAGTAGCCACCAACATCGCGGCGCTCTTCACCGGGGAAACAGAGGCCCTCGATATCCTTCTCGCGGATGACACCTTGTATAAGCTCTATGTTGTCACCGACGCGTGTGACCGGTCCCAATTCATCCAACACCTAGCCCATACTAAGCCCAACCTGCGAATCCTGGAGATCGGAGCCGGCACGGGCGCGACGACGGCGAGCATTCTGAAGCTGCTACGCCTGCCCGGCTCGACTGGCACCAGCTCCACACCCTCCCTCTTCTCCAAGTACACGTACACGGATATTTCCTCGGGCTTCTTTGTGACGGCCAAGGAGCGGTTCAGTGGGGAGAGCAACATTGAGTATCGCACCCTGGACATCAGCAAAGACCCGTCCGAGCAGGGGTTCGATGGGGAGAAGTACGATCTGATCCTCGCGACCAACGTTCTGCATGCGACAAACTACCTCGGTGAAACCCTCCGAAATGTCCACAAGCTCCTCGACCCGAACGGGCGACTCCTCCTTCACGAGCTGAACTCCCCGTCCAAGTGGCCCAACTTCATCTTCGGCACGCTGGCGGGCTGGTGGTACGGTGGGCCGGATGGAAGACCGGACGAGCCTTGTGTGTCCCCGGCTCGCTGGGAGTTGGAGCTGAAAGGCGCCGGTTTCGCGGGCTTGGATGCGGTGGTGCTTGACGGCGAGCAGCCGCATCAGCTGAACGCCATCATGGTGGCCAAGCCGCGGGTCGATGATGGTACCGACCAGAAAAAGCCTGTCAGTCTTCTCTGTGACCCCAGTGATGACAACTACGCGGACTCCTTGTCGCTCCGGCTTAACAGCCGAGGCTACGAGGTGCAGACATTCCGGCTCGGGGACGAACTGCCCCAGTCCCAGGACATCATCTCCCTCCTCGACTGCACTCGCCCATTCTTTGAAGGCATTGATGCGGCTCGTTTTGCGGCGTTCCAGCAACTTCTGAATACTGTTGGGGAGTCGGGTCTGCTGTGGATCACCCATCTCTCTCAAGTCCAATGCCCCGACCCCCGGTTTGCCCAGGTCATCGGCGCCGCACGCTCCATTCGCTCAGAGATGCTGGTGGACTTTGCGACGTGTGAAGTAGATGACATTCGTTCATCGCTGGACAAGATTATCGACGTCTATGCCAAATTCCATACCCGAGCGAAGGACGAATCGTTGAATCCGGATTATGAGTATACCATTGTGGGTGGGACCGTCTCTGTGGGACGGATCTACCCCTTCTCGCTCAAGGATGACCTTGTCGTGGCGACCAAGCCAGACGACTGGATCGCTCTCGACATGGAGAAGCCTAGCCGCCTAGCCTCCCTGCACTGGAAAGCTTCGAAAGGTAGACCCCTGGCTGGGGACGAGGTCGAGGTGGAGATCTACGCAGCCGGCCTGAACTTCAAGGTAAGAACGTGACCCCCTCCACCATGCATGCCCGATGGGTTACTTACTAACCTCCTCCGTCAGGATGTCTTGGGCGCATTGGCTGTGGTTCCGTTTCCCGACAATGGCCTGGGCGTCGAAGCCAGCGGAATCGTTCGCCATGTGGGCCCCGATGTCAAGCGGCTGTGTCCCGGAGATCGGGTCATGCTGCGCGAAGATGGCACTTTCGCAACCCATGCCATTGCATCAGAGAAGCTCTGTGCCAAGATTCCCTCGGAACTCTCCTTCGAAGATGCAGCAACCATGCCTGTTGTGTTTGCTACTGCCATCTACTCGATGTTCGATCTTGGCGGATTGCAAGAAGGACAGGTGAGCCCGCCCCATCCGTGTCAGGCTAGGGGGCCGCAATGCTGACTTCCAGCCAAGTCGATCCTTATCCACAGTGCATGCGGTGGTGTCGGAATCGCCGCTATCCAGCTGGCCCGGATGGTAGGTGCCACCATTTATGCCACGGTAGGCAGCGAGGAGAAGGTACAATACCTGATGGAAACATATGGGTTGCCGAGAAATCGCATCTTCAACTCCCATGACTCAAGCTTTGTGGAAGGCGTGATGCGCGAAACCCAAGGCCAGGGAGTCGATCTGGCTCTGAACTCCCTCTCCGGCGAGCTGTTACACGCGACCTGGCTATGCCTCGCTGAGTTCGGGAAGATGGTGGATATCGGTAAGCGTGACATGCTTGGGGCCGCTCGGCTCGACATGGGTCGCTTCCTGGGCAGCCGCACGTATTCCTGCTTTTACTTGGACTTGCTGCGAGACAAGCGGCCATCGGAGTGCAAACGGTACGTTGAGACCCCGACATAGCAATAAACCTGGGGACGCTGACTGGACTGGCTTTCATGAAAACAGACTTCTCGAATTGATCATGACGTACTTCCGAGCCGGTCATATCACACCAATCAGGCCCATCACGACGTTCGATGCCACGGCTATGGAGGATGCGTTCCGACACATGCAACAAGGCACCCATCTCGGCAAACTGGTCATCCTCATGCGAAACGCGGATGGCAGCCCTAAGATCGACCCGACATTAGTGAAAACTGCCACGAGCCTTGACTTAGACAGCACCGCATCCTACCTCATGATCGGTGGTCTCGGTGGTCTCGGACGCGCCGTTTCGCGGCGTCTCGTGGAGCACAAGGCCCGCCGTCTAGTTTTCCTTTCCCGGAGCGCCGGCCAGGGTCCGAACGATAACGACTTCGTCCGGGAGCTTGAGAGCATGGGATGCGACGTTCGCCTCGTCCAGGGCAGTGTCACCAACGAGGCTGATGTCAAACGAGCTATCCAGCAAGCACCCAACCTGAAAGGCGTACTCCAACTGTCCATGGTCCTCCGAGACCAAGCGTTTCCCCATATGACGCTGGCCGAATGGAACACCGCAGTCGCGCCCAAGATCCAAGGAACATGGCACCTCCACAACGCCACTCAGGCCGCCGGGATCACCCTCGACTTCTTCGTGCTCTTCTCGTCCACGTCCGGTGTGTTGGGCCTGCCTGGCCAGGCCAACTATGCCGGAGCAAACACTTTCCTGGACGCCTTCGTCCAGTACCGGACCAGACTGGGGCTGGCCGCCTCCGCGGTCGATATCGGCGCGGTCCAGGACATCGGCTATGTGGCGGAAGACGACGCCCTGCTCCAGCGCCTGAAGCAGACGGGTGCGCACCATCTTACCGAGTCTGAGCTTCTCGAGGCCGTATTGGCCACGATCTCTTTCTCCGTGAACCCCAACGAGGCCAATAATGTCAACGACGGCCTAGGGTTTGTAGACAAAAACAATTTCATCCTTGGTCTTCGCACATCCGTCCCCCTCAGCAGTCCCGAGAGTCGCGTGTTTTGGAGAAAGGATCGCCGTATGGCGCTATACCATAATTCCGTCGCGAAGACCAACGTACACGACGTCAGTTCCGACGGTGATGCTCTGCAGGCCTTCCTTGCCCGGGCAAAATCTGACCCGTTTATTTTGAGGACCGGGGAAAGCGCTAGCCTGCTGGCAAGAGAAATCGGGAATAAGCTGTTCAACTTCTTACTCAAGACGGGCGAGGACTTGAATACTTCGCTGCCGCTCTCGCAGCTCGGTATGGACTCATTGGTGGGTGTGGAGATGCGCAGCTGGTGGAGACAGGCGTTCGGCTTTGACATTACCGTATTGGAGATGATGGGGATGGGGAATTTGGAAGGGCTGGGGAAACATGCGGCGGAGGGGCTCGCAAAGTTGCTGGGTATCGAGTGAGCCCTTCTAAATTGACTATGCCAAAGGTATTAGGGAATAGATTTCACGGTTTCTGCCTTGATTCTGATCCTGTGCAGCCATCATCTGTACTGCTGTATATCCTAGTCCTCTTGCCAATTGGGCGGCGGAAAGTACGGGGCTGTTTCGTGATGCTATGTGGATGAAATCTAGATGTGTAACCCGAATCTGGAATAAGATTACATTATAAAGATACAGATGTTAAGCTGAGCTTCTATAACGTGTCAGCCTAGATTTATCCCTAGACTCATAAGAAGAATTATCGTCAGTGTAACAAGTGTTTTTCGTAATATTAATACTTCTCATAGCATTTATACAGTGTTCTATAATTTATGGAAGGGTATGTGATCTTAATAAAATGCTTTGAGGCCTGTGACTGTTCTCTACGTTCATTTCATTGACTCAACCATTGATTTGTATGTCTAATGGAATACTGATAGACTCGGGAATTTATAAGATAATTCTAGGTAAGACAGCTCTTAATGCATGAACAGTACCAGACAAAAATATCTAGTGCACTAGTATGGGGCAATATTATAGAAAAGATGATTTCCCGCTAGCTGTTTATTATGCTGCCGATTGGCCACTAAAGTTATAAGTAAATACAATGCGTTGGACTATATATCAGGGGTTGTGTGTATTACATTTTCAAGTACTTGATAATAACACTACGGTAGTTATACGGTTGCCAAGCCTCACTTACATAATGAAAGCCACCGCAGGGGGTTTTTGAATGACGCTGGCTTCACCAACACCAACACCAACACCATCATCTTCCCCTTCATTATGCTCAATTTAAACGACCTTGGTTTTATCAGGTGCGTGAAGAATTTAGAAACGTCTAGCGTTTTTTATGTATCTCTACAAGGACGACTACGTCTCATGAAGGTGGTAAATGTATCTACTCCATAACCACGCCATCTGCAACATCGTTCGTCAAAACTGTCCTTGACAGCCTTAGTATCATGCCATTGAGAAGTAACCATGGCATCCCACTAACAGAGAAGTTGACCCGTATATCTGCGAGAGCGCTGCATATGTTCGTCTGAAGGGGCGAGGGTTATGCCAGCAAGGGATTGTCCCAGACTTTTATGGGGTGATCGATCAAATAGACCCAAGGCAATGGCAACCTCACTTGAACGGATTTCTGAAGGATAAACATCGCCCAAACGCTATCCTACTGGAGTATATCCCAAATTTGAAGCAAATAGGCCTTGAGACATATACGGAAGACCGTGCCGCAGCACTTCTGAGCATCATTCAAAAGATCCATGAGGCTGGAATCTGCCATTGTGATCCATACCCTCGCAATATGATGGTTCAGCCAGAAACAGATAGAGTCCTCTGGATAGATTTTGATCGTGCCCAAACTGTTTCTGACGAGTCTATCACCGATAGACATCATAGTTGGATGGAAGATGATACATTGATGACCGCTGAGCTGTTAGACTTTCTGGTAAGAGACCTGGCCTTTTTACTGTATCTAGCTGACTGGGTTTTAGGCAAAAGATAGGAAGCTCGGGAAGCTTGACCATGTTTGGGGTTATTATTATCATTACTCATGAATATTGCGGATGACCTTCATAAGACAGCTACTATATAAATGTTTAATGACAATGCACTGAGAACATGCGAACAGCTCCTGCGTATGATTCCGTTGGGCGGTGTTGGCAACTTGCAGGTCACTGTAAGATACACGGTTTTCAGGCATTTCTCGTCTCGTTTTACCGGCAGTACTTGCCGCCACCAGATCTGCGTGGCCGTTAGATTTGGCTTCTCGAATTAGAAAGGCCAAAGCGAACAGCAGATTACCAGCCCTGGCGAACAAAAGCCATTGTCAGTTTAGTATAGAGCTTTATCCTATCTGTCTCGCATTTAGGTAAGAAGAAGACTGCTATACTTCCACAGGCGGAGTTCCACCGTGAAAATGACATTTCCCAACCACTTCCCATAATTGGTGGACGGAATTCCACCAGTGCCTTGTCTGACATGGGCGTATCTTTTCTTCTTCGAACCGGTAATCTTGTAACGCAAAGCTCCGGGGAGTTCAGCGGGGCCAGCAGAGGGTAGTGGGTTAATTGTCGACGCGCTAACCGGTATACCAAAAACGATATCCCGTCTCGTCAGTCAGGCGACGAGAGATATGGGTCCCAATTTTGAATTAATTTTGTAGGCTATGGTTATTGTAGGGCATGTATGAGAGTATCAGAAAAGACGGTCAAGGATTGCTTGTATATCAGCCGGTCGAACAGATGATCTGCAGCAATCAGATTTTCGGCCTGAGATACTCCGCAGAAGAAGCTCCGCAGGAGATGCTGCTTGCAACTATCAACCAGGGCCTATCATCTTATGCATGGCAGTGTGTATAGATACACGTTATTTGAGTCCTTGGGGCATGAATCCAAAAGAATGGTATCAAACATTTTTATCATTCTATCGTATTTCGAGTTATACTTGACCATAGCGTGTCTCGTGCAGTCACTTGACATTGAACTGGAAGACGCTGCCCTTGAATCTATTGAAGTAACGCGAGGGGCTGCTCATTAGACTGCCGGAGCAAGGAGGAATGGGTGCCATGCGAGATCTATTCCGATTGCTTGATCTTTCATAAAGCTATATAATTATTGGTATCTAGACCACAGATACTACCCTGAACTGGAGGTGAAAAATATATATGTGTATTATGTAATCAGTGTCTACCGATCTAGTAGGATTCACCGAAATATATGATAATTCAGCATATACAATATTACAAACAACAAGCACAAAGGGCAGCTAATAAGAAGACACATTTATGTTATGATTTTTTTCTATTGGCTAGTGAGATGCCTTATCAATCAAATAATCCTCAGAAAACTGATAGCATGACACAGAATATGAGAGGTCATAAGATGTGTGAAATACGGGGTAAGTACGGGTCGATGCTGTTACCGATCGAACTGTTGGAATTCCCAACATTGAGCGCAGTCCAGAATAGTACATATTGCAATGTATGATCAACAGTGTGAGAAGATTAGGTGTATTTTAGAGAAGATCTGTGAGCTCGGCAAGTTCTCGGCGCTCGGGATGATGGGGTTGGCGGCTTCCCGCCCCCCAACTATTCTGCACTCATCCCAGCTCCCTCACCCGCAAAATCCGTTCTAGGGATATTGTCGGATTTTCACCTTCCACCTTCCACCTTCTATTACTTGATGTAAAAGTCCCTTTGTACTTTTTTCAGGCCTCCGAAGTCACATCAGAATATCCTTCACCTGATCAAGCGATGGTGGAGGGAGAGGGAGAGGTTGGTTGGTTGGTTGGTTAGTAACCCCCGATTCAATTCTGCGCCAGATAACCAACCAATTGCTTCACCATGATTGCGACCAGCGTACTACAAAGTATTAATTTGCCATGCGACCGGGATCCTGCGGCTTCCACGTATCGAAAAGCGGGACAAAATTTGACTGCCTGTCCGGTGCTGCATGTTGGGGTTACACCAGTTGCGTTATATCGCCTAATAGTAAATTATTAAAATGCTGCAGGCGGCTCCACCCGACCAGGAAACCCTGGAGAGTAATTTTGCTAATTGCTTAGTAGCATGCCCGAGCCGGCAATTAGTTAGTCTGGTTGGACTAATCCTTCAGTCCTCTCCATCCAGTGATTTACGCCATATTAATCTCCACCCCCTTATGCCAGGCCGGACTTTCTGATAGGGGGACCATTGTTCATGCTGCCACCCGGCATCCACCGCCACTCACACAAAAAAGGATTGGTTGCTTTTACTCCAGACCCCAGACTGCAGCGTCTTGTCTGAGTTGTCTCACTTCCCTCCCCTGCCACCTGCATTTTCCTGCTCCCACATTTCCACCAAACTCCGGTCTTCCGTAAGCTTCAGCTGAAAGTTTGATCCCCACGGTGAAGTACTACACCACGGCGATTCCGATCAAAGAAACCCGGGGGGGGATTTCTCTAAGATTGCCACAACCGAGTGCGAGGTCTGTACCAAAGGCACACATATTCTGCGTAGTGGACTAGTTATCCACTTTTTACGTCGTTGGAGCCGATGCGGAGGCCAAGCTTCGTGCTTGGGAAACAAGCAACAGGCCAAGCAACGAGCGGATGGGGCTTAGAGCCACTGAGTGGTCATGCCGTCCATGGGACGGACTGGCCTCGATACTGATATAGGGAGTCCTTTTGATAAGCCCGTGTGCACAGGGCCTCCGGGTTTCCGGCTAGTCTAGTCGATGCCGCAAATTTTTCTTCACTAATTTCTCTTGCCCTGGTCGCCCATTGCTGGTTCATCCATTCGGTGACCCCCGAGACCGTCTCCGCGCCACCATACTTGGTAGTACCACTGTTAGGCACTACTATGTAAGTAATAAGCGACAGTCTTTCGGGTTACGTGCCGCTGCGGCTGGTACCAAACATTCCAGCTGTAAGAGCATTGCAGCCAGGCAGTTCTATTGTGTAAGGGAAATTGGTCCATGAAATTCGGTAAAATTGATGGGAAGCAAGACAAGGGGGCGCTAGTGCAGCGGTCGCATGGTCGCTGTCCCCATCCACTCGGTTCTCCGTCGGCAATTTCAATCCTGTCTTTCCCTTGTCGTCCGTTCGCTTCGTTGATTGGATTACTTATGGATTATGGTAATGATATTCGGATCACTGGCTCCGGGGGTCGCCCTTATCTTCCCACAGCCCGTTACGAAATTGGCTTTTGGTCCGATATGTGCGCATCCACAACCGACCACCCACACCACCTGCTCTTCCCTAGGCCAACATTGGCTTACGGTGTATCAGACGGTGCTTCAGATCGAATTTTGCGATCCAATGATTGACCTGCAGACAATAATCATGGTCAGGTCTCATTGGGCGCGATAACGTGCTTCAGCCAGGAAATCACACTCATGACCATCCTCTTACTTTTTTCCCTCATCATATCAGGTTTTTTCACTAAGCTCATAGGCATCCGACTCCAGCCGCAGCAAGCCTGTGACCCTGGTCTAGTCTTGCAACTCTCCGAGCAAACGAGCGTGCCGACGGTGGAGTCGCCTGGTTCGTGGCAAGCCGTTCGTGCAGCCCACGGTTATCTGCTGTGTTACCCTCCCAACCAGCTAACTCAGGACGCCACCCCTCCTTCGGACCTTCGACAGATGCTCCAGAAGACCTCGTTGTGCCAATCAAGTTCCTGGCTAGTGGTGGTGGCCTTCTCGGAGTGGGGGATGCAGACCGTTTAACTTTCCAATGGACCGTCAATGGCTTTCTGGATGGGTGCCCACCGTCGCTCGAGCATCGCTGCCGCTGGCGTTTATTAAATTGCATCGATTATCAGTGCTGGATCAGCTCATACTGACGGCGATAATGTAGATACTAGCCCAAAGTGATCCATCGGATTCCGCCTGTTAATCCCGCTTCTCCCAATCCCATTCGTTTCTTTAGCTATTAGCTTGTGGGCGTTATCTCCCCGTCAGCCTCCCTTTGACTGGTCTGGCATCCACTGCCAGCTAGTACTTTGTAGACTCGCCCCGTCGCGTGCTTGCTGTTTGGTCCTTCTTAAGCTCCGCCGATCCCACCTCCCCCAGTTCTAGATCTTTGCACACCCCTCAAGTTCGTCCTCTACTTTGTCTTTCTTCCGGCGATTGTGTTCGTCGTCCGCCTTGCTATACCATGGCTACCGAAATCGAGCCGGCGGAGATCCCTCCTGTGCTGGGAGTCCTCCCAGCATACGGACAGGATAAAGAAACCCACCTGAAGATGGTTCCACGTGCCGATGGTGCTCGAGCTCGGTTAGATCCGAACGTCACCCTCGAGGAGTACATGTACTGGGCCAACATTGAGCGTCAGCTGGAAGAGGAGGAGAACCGCCAGTACGTGCTGGAGCGTGGGCCTCTGACCGTCGGCAAGGTCATCCAGAACCGTTTTTCCAAGGGTGTCCACCATGAGAAGAAAGGTGCCCAGAATAGCCCACAAATTGATGGTGAAAAGGGCATGGTCGCATCTACTCCCTCGGACTCGTCTCTGGCTGTTAGCGATGAGGAATGGAGAAATGCATCTCGCGCCCTCCGAACAGCCGGTTGGGGTACCATCTTCTATCTGATCACCACCGACGTGCTGGGCTGGGCAAACGCACCGTGAGTGATTTCCAACCTGTCGAAACCAACCACCATCTCGCATCTTCTCTAACCGGGTGGCTCTGTGATCTAGGTTCGTCTTTGCAAGTGTGGGATACGGTCCTGCCGTGGCTTTGTTCATTGTTTTTGGTTGCTTCGCCGGCTTCAGTGGCTGGATTCTGTGGAGGGTGTTTCTAGAGCTCGACTCGACGCGCTATCCCTTGATCAACTTTGGTGACACCTACTATCGTGTTTTTGGAGCGTGGAGTCGTCATTTCGTTAACATCGGACAGTCGCTGCAGCTGCTGATGTCGGTGTCCGTGCTGGTTCTGGGTAACGGCCAAATTCTGGCACAGCTGACCAATGAGAGTATTTGTTTCGTAGCTTGCATGATCATTATGATGGTTATCGGCATGGTCTGTGGCAGCATTCGTTCCTTGCAACGTCTCGGATGGCTGACCAACGCCGCCGTCTGGTTGAACATCGCGGATTTCATCATGATGTCAGTTTCTCCAGGTTATTTTACAGTGGTCGGGATATGCTAATTGATGAACAGCATGGTCGCGGCTGGTGGCAAGTATGGAATCGACTACAGTGCCGTCACGTCGTCGTCCTTGATCAAAGCCATAGAGCCTGTCAAGGTCTTTGCGGGACCTCCCCCCAACCAGTACCAGATTCAGGCCACTGGGTTTTCGGGACAATTCACTGGTGTTGACCAGATGGTTTGTGAGTAATCGAAGTTGAACTTCTGTGCGTCTGAGAATAGCTCGGTTGACCCTGCGACAGACAGTTATGGTGGCGCTATTTTGTTCATCTCCTTCCTGGCTGAGATGCGCCGTCCGTGGGACTTTTGGAAGGGGTTGCTGTGTGCCCAATTGTTCATCTGTTTGGTCTACATTTTCTTCGGTGCTTTTGTAAGATCCCCCACCTGGTGTTTATTGACAACAGGTATTTGGCTAACGTTACCACAGGTCTACAGCTTCTACGGTCAATACTCCATCTCCAACATCTACAACGTTGTCGAGCCCAAAGGTCTACAAGAGGCAGTTAATATAGTCTACTTTTTGACCACTATTATCGCTTGCAGTACGCTTCATCGTTTCTCATTGTGTACAAAAAAAAACCTCCGCTGACCAGCTTAGTCCTCTACTTCAATATCGGCATGAAATCTGTCTACCAGCAAGTCTTCATGGAAATTTTCAACTGCCCCGACATCTCCACCAAACGCGGCCGCTTGCTGTGGTACGGCCTCGGCCCGATTTACTGGATCATCGCCTTTGTGATCGCCGCTGCCGTTCCCAACCTGAGTGGAATCTCCAGTATGGTCGGCGCGGCCCTGATTCTCAACTTCACTTACACCCTCCCGGGTGTTCTCTACGTTGGATTTCGGTGCCAGAAAGACGCCGCACTTCCGGGCGAAGGGTATGACCCTGCGTCTGGTGTAACAACGCGCCATGATTCTGGCATGCAGCGATACATTCGTGGTTTCAAGAAGCACTGGGTGGTCAATTGTTTCTGTATCTTCTACTTCTGCGGTGGATTGGCGTGCTCCGGTATGGGAATGTGGGCTGCTATTATCGGCTTGATTGAGGAGTTCGGACCTGGTGGTACAGTGGCTACGTCGTTTGGGTGTGCTGCACCTGTTTAAGGGGTGTATTCGGCAGCAGACGAGAGTTATGCTCTTATGGTGGAGCGAGCCATGTTCTTGGTTCTAGATGGTGATGATAGTATAAATGTCTCTCATCTCTATATATATGCCTGTGATGGTGCCATGTCCCATGTGTCACGACATGGATGTGATTGTAATGTTAATGCCATGGTTCTCTACCATGTGTCTATATCCACCCCATTATGTTATTTATCATTATTTATCAGATGTTATCAGTACCTTGAGTATTAGTAACTGGCACTCTTTCCCTTACCACTACTGCAACGCGGATGCTTGGTTAAAAACAGCTCGCTGTGTGCTACTCTTTCCATGGATAGCAGACATCACGCCTGGAGGATATTCGCGCCAACCACTGCTATGGACCGGAGATATTTTGGGGCCCTTGTATAATTTTGCCATAGCATTGGAACGCGAATTATGATACATTATTAGTAGAGTCTGGCCACGCACTGGTTCTTTCTACCTTCGAGTTTCCAAAAGTGGCATCCATTCACTGTCAATAATGAGGTCCCTGCTACGGCCCGCAGAAGGCCCTTGCATATGCCGTTTCGTGTTATTCCACAGCCAGCCTTAGCATAATGTTTCGAATTCACTTCATCACGCCTCTCCTCTTGTTTTTTTCTTTCCTTTCTCTCTTCCTGAATCTTTATTCTTAATCTTCTTGTCCGTTCACGCGTTTTGCAAACAGCTTGATGGGTACCGTGTGATGATGCACATTCCACAACTTCGCCTTTGGCGGTCACTCCTCATCTGTGTTGTTTGGTCTCTCCCTTGCTTCCAGGTCCTGGCGATCGACCTCGATCTCCAGAATGCTGGTGAGTTTCAAGGATCTTAACCAGATGTTGAACCTTTGTCGGAGGCTAATTAATTCTTTGGTGTCAACTAGACAGCATCAAGAGCGTCGCAAGCGACCTCGCCTGGGACCTAGTCAGCTTCTATACAGGCAACAACACCGGCGATGTTCCCGGAAACCTTCCAGATCCATACTACTGGTGGGAGGCGGGGGCCTTCTTTGGCACCCTGGTCAATTACTGGGCCTACACCGGAGACACCACATATAACGAACTGACCGCGCAAGCCATCCTCCACCAGGTCGGTCCCAACCGAGACTTCATGCCCGCCAACCAGACGCGCACGGAGGGAAACGATGACCAAGCGTTCTGGGCATTTGCTGCCCTGCGTGCCGCCGAGCGAAACTTCCCCAATCCGCCAGCCGATCAACCGTCGTGGTTGGCTCTCGCGCAGGCCGTTTTCAATGAACAAGCGCAGCGATGGAATACGCAGAAGTGCGGAGGGGGATTGAAATGGCAGATCTACACGTTCAACAGCGGTTACACGTACCGAAATTCCATCTCGAACGGGTGTTTCTTCAACATGGCGGCTCGACTCGCACGATATACGGGCAACGCTACGTACGCGGACTGGGCCAATAAGGTCTGGGATTGGGTGACAGACGTAGGACTGGTTGGACCCGAGTATCATGTGTTCGACGGGACGAGCGAGGAGAACAACTGCACCGACCTGAATCATATTGAGTGGACTTATAACAACGGGGTATTCCTGCTAGGGGCAGCACACATGTGGAACTACGTGAGTTGGAGACCTGCTTGCTGCACAGCGCATACAACTGACAAAACTGCAGACCAACGGTGACGAGAAGTGGCGCGAACGAGTCAACGGCCTTCTCCAAGCGCAGAACACCTTCCTCTCCACGAACGAGAGCTCCAAGAACGTGCTTTACGAGGCCGCATGCGAAACCGTGGGGACCTGCCAAACAGACCAATTCTCGTTCAAAGCCTATCTGGTGCGATGGATGGCCGACACTGCCCGACTGGCTCCCTTCACCTACGAAACCATTATGGCACGCCTGCAACCGACAGCCAAGGCAGCAGCAGCCCAGTGTGTGGGAGGTAAGACGGAGACATACTGTGGGATGCAATGGACTACGGGAATCTATGATGGCACAGTGGGCGTGGGACAGCAAATGGCCGCCTTAGAGGTGGTCCAGGCCAATCTCCTGCAGGCCAACCCTGGTCCGCTCACTCATACCACGGGAGGATCCAGCCAGGGGAACAGCGCCGCAGGGACACAAACGTCAGATTCGTCCCGAGATCCCAGTGAACTGCGCCCGATTACCACGTCGGATCGAATTGGGGCAGGGGTAGTGACAGGAGTCACGGCATGCTTGGTGCTTGGGGTGACGGCTTTCATGGTGTCATAATAGACTGATCATGACCATTCAACAGCACAAAATGTATGAGGCCCTGCATAAATATCAATTACATAAGAAAGTCTCTTCTCCTCACCGCCAAGACTATCCAGGTTCTGATTGGTGATTGGCTGAGATAAGCAAGGCTCCGATAAGGCGCCTGGGCTAGTCCCTCTACAGTAAAAGATACGCCGGGTCGGTCGTGCGGGCCAATCAGAAGCCCCTTTGACGAAGCGGAGGCCAATACATTCCCAAAAGGGAAGATATGGCAACTCCGCCTGTGTCTCCAATCGGGGTAATCTGGGCAATCTGGGCGGGGAGGAAAAAGTTATATAGCAGCTAGCTTCTGCTGTCTCTCGTTCCTCCCTTCAACTTCAGCAGTGTCTCGAATATTTGGCAGATCCCCAGATATAGACACCATGGCAGTCTCACCACACCCTTTCGACTCTATCACCCCGGCGGAAATCGTCCTGGCCACCAAGATTCTGGCGGCCGCCTTCCCCGGGGTCCCTCTACGGTACAAGAAGATTGATATCCAGGAACCCATCAAGAGTGAAGTGGTTCCGTTTATAGAAGCAGAACGGCTGGGCAAGCCCCTGCCCGCAAAGCCCACTCGGTTGCTGCTGGTTCTTTTTCACCGCATGGACACCATGGCCTTCTGCAAAGCATTGTTGAATGCCGACACCCGATCAATAATCTCGGCCAAGGAACTGCCCAAGCATGTTCAGGTATGACTCATGGCCTTTATCTACGTTACCTCGTAATGTCTCTGACCACAACAGGGACCTGGTGATCCGGACGAACTAGGAGAGGTCGAGCAACTCTGTCTCTCTCACCCCGCCGTGCAGGCCGAGGTGGCCAAATTGAAGCTGCCTCCAGGTGTTACCGTCTGCAATGACCCTTGGATCTATGGCACTGATGATCCCAATGAGACGCGTCGCTTGTTCCAGTGCTACATGTACATTGTTGCCACAGACCATCCCGAGAACAACCACTACTCTGTACCTTGCAAGTTCTCCCCTGTCTTCGACGTTCACAAGCGTGAGCTGGTCCGTATGGACTACCTGCCAGGTGGAGTTGATATGCAAACCACCGAAACGCAGCCCTGGAAGCCGGTTGAGACCATCCAATATGCGCATGACCTGCTGCAGGAACCCTTGCGCACTGACCTCAAGCCTTATATCGTCCAACAGCCTCAGGGCCCATCATTCAATGTCGACGGAAATGTGGTCTCGTGGCAGAAGTGGAGATTCCGCGTTGGTTTCAATAGCCGCGAGGGTCTCGTTATCTACAATCTCACGTATGATAAGCGGAATGTCTTCTACAGATTGTCCATGTCGGAGATGACTGTACCGTACGGTGGTAAGTCCAGAGCTATAGTTCTTCATTTCTAACCGCCCGCAGCAACCAGCCTCATACTGATCTTGCGCTACAGACCCTCGTGCACCCTATCACCGCAAGCAGGCATTCGATGTGGGAGATGTAGGCTTCGGTGTCACAGCAAACCAACTATCTCTAGGCTGCGACTGTCTAGGCCACATCAAGTACTTTGATGGCTACCGGGCTGATTCAAAGGGAAACCCCGTTTTGCTGAAAAATGTCATCTGCCTTCATGAGCAAGACAACGGTCTGCAGCACAAACATACCAACTACCGCAATAACGCCGCCACGGTTGTCCGTAACCGCCAACTAGTAGTGCAGATGATCTGCACCGTCGCAAACTACGAATACATCTTCGCCTTTATCTTCGACCAAGCCGCTAACATTGAGCTCGAGGTCAGAGCCACCGGCATCCTCTCTACCGTACCCTTCGACAACGAGAAGCCCGGTACCACTGTTCCCTGGGGCACCAACGTCGGCCCTGGCGTCATGGCGCCTTTCCACCAGCACATGTTCTCTTTCCGGATGGACCCCGCCTTGGACGGATTCAACAACACTGTCTACTACGAAGATAGCGTGCCACTGCCGGAGGATGAAAACAACCCCTACCTGGTGGGATACACGACCGAGCAGACAGTGCTCCGTACCAGCGGCACAGCAAACACCGACATCAGCCGTCACCGCGTGTTCAAAATCCGCAATGACTCCCACATTAACCCTATCACCTACAAGCCCATAGCATACAAGCTTCAGACCTCGCCCAGTCAGATGCTTCTCTCGAGCCCGAAGTCGTATGGCGCCAAGCGTGCCGGCTTTGCGACCAAACCCATCTGGATTACGAAGTACCGTGACGACGAGCTGTATGCGGCGGGTGAATTCACCAATCAGAGCCGGGAGAGCGAAGGGCTTGAGAAGTGGGTGCAGCGAAAAGATCCTGTCGAGAACGAAGACATTGTATTGTGGCATAGTAAGTGATCCTTCTACTATTGTGTATTGCCGGTCGGCAGCAGGGCTAGAACTAACACCTGACAGCCTTCGGCCTGACGCATAACCCCCGCATTGAAGACTTCCCCGTCATGCCCGTCGAGCGCGTCAGCGTCATGCTGAAGCCCGATGGATTCTTCACCAAGAATCCTGCATTGGATGTGCCGCCTTCGACGCAGTCGTTCAACAAGTCGACGTTGCACCCAGAGCCAGCAGCCACGTGCTGTGCTCCTGCCGAGAGGATGGGAAAGTTATAGATGGACGACCGATTCATGAGAGATGACGATCTATGACAGTGCCTTTTTGATGCTCTTGTTCATAACGAGTACCCAGTAGAATACTGAATTTACGCTCATCATGTCTAAAGCAAAGCACAAAGCGAGAGTCCTCTCTGTAATTAATAACTACTAGTATGACACCAATTCCCCCAAGGTCCCTCCACCATCACACTACCTCCACTTAGCCCTATATACATACCTTTTTGATGCCATCTTCACCTATACTCCATCCCCAACACCAAACTTGCATCATTAAACCCCCACGCACCTCAACTTCCCCGCAAGAGACCGGTCGGGTTTCTCGGGGATCACTCCGGTCGGCGATTCGCCATGACTAAGCAAGGGACTGAGGAGCTATAAATCCGCCTCTATCTTGAGTTTATCTCCTTCCATCGACTTCCATTTACCCCCGCAACCCCTCATACTTTTCAGGGACAAGACCAAGAATACCTCTCAAAATGTGCATGAAAGTCAACTGCTCGAACTGCAGTATGTTACACCTGGCCTATAACCGAATATCGTCACAATATCAAGATACTAATCAATGAATGCATTCAGACAAAGCCACCTGGTGGGGCTGCGGCGCGCATATCCCCTCCGTTCTGGACTCGGTTCCGGAGAGTGAGCGCTGCACTTGTTCGCCGAAGGTGGTGCGCGATGGAAAGGAGTATCCGCCTAAGGCGGAGAAATGACTATCTGCGGGGTGTGTTATTTGTTAATTATGTTAGAAAGATGTTGGTGATGATGTTATGGGATGTTGATGGGGCTAATTCAAGTTTGTTCGGGGATAGGACCGAGTGGTAGTGGGTGCTAGATACGGATCATGATTGATACAATGTTATAAAACTTCTTTTGCTGTTTTGGGGTGTGGTGGTGGAGTTAAATGATTGGTGAGATCCATGTCGTCATGAAGTGGTTGTTGCAAAAAGAGACAGGTAGCTCGTCGCTGGTGCGTGCTGATGTTAGACTTCTGATATTGGGGCCAGCTTTCAGCATGTGCATAGACCAGGAGTAGAAGCATGCCCGGCAAGGTTGTGTGTACTCCGTACATGTTTGTTGTCTCGGGGGATGAGGATATTGGGTTTTGGTTATATTAGCTGGGTTGGGAACACAAAGAGATAGGATGAAAAGGGAAGATTAAGATGAGCATAATTCAAAAGCATGATAGTGGTAGATAATCAAAAGAGAAACAAGGAAAAAACAAAGGATAGAATATATAAATTAAAAGTTGTTGTTGGATTTGAATCATCTTTCTTCTAATGCGGACAGGCGGAAACTCTGCAACGCCTCATATGCGGAGGCGCAAAAAAGGAATGACAAGAGTGGGATTCGAACCCACGCCATCTTACGATGATCAGGAAGCTGTGAAGCTGGGTATTAAGGTGGACCTTAACCTGACGCCTTGGACCAACTCGGCCATCTTGCCTTGAATGAGGAATACCTCACATTTTATGCTATATGAAGACTGCAACTTAGAACACCTGATCTGGCCATAACCTTCCACTTGATGCAGGCTTGGAACTCATCAGCGGTGGAAATATCACACTCTGAGCATTGTATGTATTGTTTTTCCCGTAAATTATATTGTTATTACTATCTTCTTGTTCATGTGCAGCCTGTTTAGCAACCAATGATAACATGGCGTTTTTGTCCACAACTAGTACTACTAATATATATTTATTGGTGCCTAGTATACAGTAAGCAGTAATTTCGTAACGAGATAGCCAGGGATGATAGCCACCACTCCAGAAAACCAAGTGGACCGATCGGAGAGCTTCGTACTCGGGGAATATGAAAACAAGCAATGGATCCAGTAGGAGCCACTTTACATCGGGTGGCTGTATTATATATCCAAGCCACCTGCTGGTCACAAATCAGTTCGGCGCTTCTTCATCTTTCGCCTTCTTCAACCCCTTCAATTCTCCCTTCTCCTCAGCTCTCTGCATCTCCCTCGGACTATCAACCAGCTCATTATTTTGCATAACAAAGGTCGACACCGCAGCGGCAACCAGAACCGACATAGAAAGGAAGAACACTCCACGCGCGGCACGGAGATAGATGAAGATTGCAGTCTGCTTCTCCAAACCACTCAGCAGGTCGAGCCGATTGTAGTTGTGCGAGATCCAATAAGCTAGACCAGGCTGGCCTCGAAAGAGAGATCGGAGGGCATTAACTGACAAATTTTGAAAGATAGCAGCCGAGATGGTCTGGCCGATGGTGGTGCCAGTATTGCGGACAGTGAAGGAACAGGATTGTACCACGGCGAGGTGTTGCTTATCGGCCGAAGTGAGGAGACCCATGAGTCTGGTCACGTACGCCCCGCCGGACCCGGCACCGTAAATGCCGAGATAAAGGAAAGGGGCCCAAGAAGGTGTCGTCTGGGTCATAGTACAGAGCATGACAGCGCCCAGGACGGAGCAGGCTTGGACGGGAAAATTGATGTAGTAGTACTTGGCTGTGACCTTGACGAATAACCCAGCGGCGAAAGATCCAAGAGCAAAGCAGAGAGCCAGGGGAATAAATCGCAAGCCACTCTCGCCTGGGGAGTGACCAAGAACCTCCAAGTACACGGGCACGTAGTACATGATGCTAGTGTTGCCGAAGTTGGAAAAGAATGAGCTCAGTTGCGATGCGGCCACAGTACGTTGTAGTAGGGCTCGAACTGGGATATGAGGGTTCTCGGCTTTATAAAATTCCCAGAAGAGAAATGCCAGGAATCCTACCGCGGCAAGGATCAAGGTGGTCAGCACTGCTGCGCTGTTCCAGGCAAAGACCGAACCACCAGCGTTCATGCCGAATTGGAAGAGGATAATGACGACAAGAAGAGCGACCATGCCGACGTAGTCAACTGGGCGTCTGATAGGACGGCTTTTACCCTGAGGGATGTTGAGATAGAACGCCACCATCGCGATGTCAAGAATGATGAAGGGCACTTGGATACGGAATGCCCACTTCCACCCAATGGCGTTGGCGACGCCACCCCCGTAGACGCCACCCAGGGCCAATGTAACACCATAGGTAATGTTGCCAATGCCTTCAATCAGCGCCCGTTTTCTCATGGACACGAGATCGGTTTCGACAAAAGCAGTGATGGTGCCGATGCAGCCTGCACCAAGACCCTGAATGATCCGTCCTAGCAAGAAGACTGACAAACGGGGCGCCAGTCCGCATAAAAGCTGTCCTACGGCTAAGACCGAGAGACAAAGTACAAGGCCATATCGTCGACCCAACGGGTTGGTCAGTTGTCCGCTGAATGGCTGCGAGATGGAGAGACCTATGGGGTATGTGGTAGCGACCCAGGAATACGATGGAAAAGCATCGTATTCATCACATATATCCTCAATAATTGTGGCAAGCATGGTTGAGTCTATCCTTTGTCAGAAATTGCTTGTTCGCCAGCAAGTTGCGCGAAAAAGAAGATTTTGTACTTACCTAACGCACTGAGCAAGACCCCAACCTGATGACACGAGGTTCAGAATCAGTAGGTAGATCTTTTGTTCATCACGGCGTGTACAGAAACTGCTTACCCAAAGACCTAACAGAACCAATACTAGGCGAGCAGTCGATGGCTCTGGGTCCGCATCATCGGTGCTGTTTTCGGTCTCACAAACCGCAGTATCTGGGGAAGGTTCCATCACCGTCACAAGCTCTATTGAGTCCTGATCGTGACCCCTATCTTCTCTGATGGTGCTCTGTGTATAAGCCATGGTGGAAGAACAATCGATAATGGGGTACAAAGGATGAATGATGGGGACGATTGAAACAATAGATACAACACGAAAATCAGAGCATTAAGAACGTGATAAATTCACTGATGTTTGAGGACCCTTAGGACCGCATCTGACTCACAGTTGACCAGGGTCCAGGGCTTGACCACTGGGAGAATGATATTAAAGTGGGGATTAACAAGAAAATCTTGTATGTAAAATGCTCTCATATACCCCTGTCATGTACATTGACAAGGGATGCTGTATTCCGAGAGAAAACAAGCTTGTATGTAGTCTATTGTCGATTTACCCGGAGTCTGAACCCATGTGTACGCCCTAGCAGAACACTTATGAAATGCGTACGAAGAGGACCTTTTCACTATGAAAAGGTCATATGGCGGAAGACCTGGATAATACACCAAGTGCAGAATGAGCCTGCACATCGCACTTACCAAGCTTCAGGAAGTACTAGTTTGTAGCCAGGCTTCCTCCATTCCAATGTAGTGATTGACTAGAAGTGTCCTGGTTTGCTTCCCAAAACCAGAAACAAATATGAACACCTTACAAGAAATTACATCAGGGATACTTGTCATACTAGTCAGTACTTGTTTCCGGGAGCACCAGATGTCTGCTCGACTCATTGGTTGAGAGATGCAGGGATTCATAGACCTTCTTGACTAGGTATAGTGCTACTGTGCCCCTCATTCCTTCTTTGGGTAGAGGTGAATGCTAAACAAGGTCAAACAAAGACCAAGAAAAGCTTAACATGGCTTAGAAAGAAGTAAGCAACCCCTGCTTCACTCTTTACCTGGAGTCCGACGGATGGTCCGATGCTGTGGGCGCGCCTGGATTATTGTGTGCTTTTGGGCTGCGCTGATGTGGACTGTAAGGGTTGGCCCTTAGTGTGCTTACGGAATGCAGGTTGATCCAAAGTGAGTCACTGGCATAATCGTCTAGAGCAAATCTCAGTTGTTGACATGGTAAAATTCCTGTCGTAGCCAAGGAAGCTTGCTGCTGAAGCTGTTAGAGAGAGTCGTTTGAGAAAGGTGAATATCTTCCGGTTCTCCCACGGTACCAGTTCCGGTATGCGCACCCGTCTGCTCAAATAAGTCCCAGGAATTATCAACCCGAGGCACAGTTTGCCAATAGATTATATGGTTAGTATATCGATCAATCAATGCCGTTGATCGGGTATCGTCATCATTCCGGGCGACTATTTTACCATTCAGTCGGAATCGCATGCCTGAAAGTCCGCGCCCCAAGTGATTTAGAAAATTTTTGGGCGGTAAGCGGCTATTAATCTGTGGCTATTCATTTGTTGAATCCAATGCATTCAATTGAGTTGTCATTGACGAATTTACTCGATATACGGACTATTATGTTTAGCTACGTTTAACTGCCTCGCATAGAGGCTGAAGTCGTGAAAGGACCGTACCCAAGAGGCTTTGCTACCATCTGGCCCAAACATTCAAAAAGATGGGTTCATGCTCTCAGCTACATATGGTGGTAGCTCTGCTCAACCTTAGTTTAAAGCAAAACACGAAGCCTACTGAAAGAGTTTATTGGGGCATGGTTCTATCTCGCACGACTTTCTTTTCCGTCAAGCAAGCTTGCTTCCTTAGTCCCTGGATTAGACATAATTTGGGGTACTACTTCATGTGGAGAATACCGAAGCCAGAGGGATATACCTTTTTCATTACATTATTGACAGATAATGAAGAATAATCCTCTGACGATCTCTTGGCCCTATCGTGTCAAGATTGATAATATTATTATCTGCCGATAACGGGCGGGGTCGCTTACTCAGCCACAGTTTGGTGGGGAAATTGACTTGTTCCCAGCATGGATTCCGGCTGCTTCATTCTCTCCATCATCAGGTCCAGCGAAGAGTTGCAGCAACTCCATGATTATAGGCTAATATTTTAGGGAGGAAGCTTGACGTCGGTGGGAACTTCCAATCAGGGACAATGGACCATTCCCAGCGTCCTAAGCGGACTAGCAATGCGTATGGCCATCTCTTTCCCCGGATCTTGAGACTACTAGTAGTTCATGTCCACTAACCCCACCAGCTGTCAACGCTGTCGCTCACGCAAGGTCAAATGTTCTGGCACCCATCCCTGCGACAAGTGCTGTCAGCGTCGCGAAGACTGTGTCTTCGAGGATGATCGCAAGATTGTAGTGTCTGAAGAGTGAGAACCATGATCTGCCATTACCGAGCGAAAACGTGTTAATCTTCCCAGGTTATTTCTGTCCCTCAAGCGAAAAGTGGAGGCCCTGGAAGGAAGTGGTGACTCTTCCCCGGTGGTCAAACGCCGGCGAGCCTTGACGACTGACAGTACAAATGAATCCAACCATGGTGAGGGAGAGACCCTTTCATGCACTGCATATTCCTATCTAATCAGTGCAGAACGAGCATCGGAGTTGCCCCGAGAGGCATCAATCGATCCAGCTGAGTCCCATCGAATGGATGAACATTTCACCTCCAACCCTTTTATCAACCCGGGCTACCTCAAACATACCGGACAGCGACAGCGAATATGGCGTAGGCTATCTCCTTTCTCTGGTAGGGAAATTGCTGACCTCAGCGCAGTGTTTCTTGGACCGACTTCGACCTGGTCGTTCAGCCGCCGCATTCTTACCATTGTACAGGCACATATCTCGCCAGAGAGTCCACGGGCGATACCTCTCGCGGTCGATGGCGATGCATATCAAATACAGTGGCGTCACGCCAGTTCCGAGGAGGCCCCTGACATCAGCGGTCTGCCCTCGCTGGAGCATGCATTGTACATGGTGAGCACCGTGCAGTTTCATTTCACCCACCTGTATCGGTTATTTGATGAGGATGAGTTCTATCGGCATATGTATGAGTTTTACGACGATGCGGCAGCCAAGGTGCAGGAACGCCGTCTGTGGTACGTGCAGTTTCTCATCATCCTAGCCTTCGGAGAGGCCTTCCTGGACCCAGTGCGGAATCATGCGAACACGGCGAGCTGGACCAAGTATTTCTCGAGGGCGATGTCACTGTTGCCCGATATTACTGGGTTATGGCAGGACCCTACCCTCGCAATTGAGGTGCTGGCTCTCATTGGACTGTATTTTCACTCGGTGGATATGAGGGATACTGCCTATTGCTATGTGAGTATTCGCACAATATCTCGTTGACCTGACTGATGATGTAGATTGGCCATTCGATGCGCATGGCATTGGTTGAAGGGTTTCACAGGGCGCTTCCAGTCAATCAATTAGGACGAAAATTAGTGGAACGCTGCAGCAACATATGGTGGACAGTTTATATCCTAGACCGCAAATTTGCGGCACTGATAGGATCCCCAAACTCCGTGCGGGACGACGAAATCACCACGCTTTTATGGGACCCGCGCACATCCTCTCGCAACGAGGCTACCCTGAGCCTCCATGTCAAGATCACACAAGTTATAACGCGCGTGTTGAACAGTAAGTCACTTGGCGCCTAGTTATCACAGTGCTGACATCCAGTAGCTGTCTACAGTGCTGATGGCACACTGGGAGGAGTCTTTCTTCGCAAGGTGCGATCGGTCCTGCAAGAAATGACCACCCTATCGCGAGAATTGGATGAGGTCTTTTCGCATCGCTTTGCAAACTCAGTCGACTCACTATCTGGAGTTACCACACGCCTGACCCTATCCTGTCATCTTGTAAGCGTCACCCCTATCATAGTGTGTACCGCTGCTAACAATATTAGTGCATCATCGTCACAACGAGACCTCTCGTGCTGAGCTTACTATGGGAGCGTTTAGGCTGCTTCGAGGCAGGTACCGAGTTTCGTACCTTATCTCCGCCCGTGCAAGCATTGCTACAGGCGTGCATCGACTCCGCGACAAAATCATTGCGGATACTTACCGCATTGCGCGACCAAAACCTGCTAGGTTCGGACCCCTCCAAGTAGCGTCACATTCTATACTGAGACATGGATGTCTAGAAACTTTTCTCCCCTTCGACCTAGAAAACCTCTTTTCCTCCTTCTTTATTCTTTCCGTAATCTCCGCCATCCTCCCCGACACACTTCCCGACCCGAGCTACCGTGACATGGGCTACAGCCTTCTTGACGCGATGATCGAGAGAGGAAACCGCGTGGCGCAGCTTCGCAAGTCTGAAGTTGAGCTTCTGGAAGAACTGATTGCACCGTTGATGCGACGGCAGGGTCGATCCACAGACGTCGGAAATGATAACACCGCGCGGCCGCACCTGGCCACGCCTACCAGCCAAGGTCGGGAGCGACTCACCGAGTCAGTTCAACCATCGGGGTCAGGGCTGCTTGGGGAAATAGGGGGATCGGGGATTCCGCCCCCACATGAGATCTCGGAGCAGGATGACGATATACCCCTTGATTGGCGGGGATTGGGGCTGTCGCTGGACTGCATGCTGACGGCGGCGGACCAATTGAATACGAATAATTTGGTGCTAGATGCAGAGCGCGAGGGATTGCAGACGGACCTGTGGTTGTGGGAGAGTTGAGCTGTCATGGGCGGGGAGTTGCAGAGAGGAGTGAGAAATGACCACCGGTGTAGATGTCCGGATGATGAGTCCATGAAACTTATGCATGTGGCGTACTTTTGGGACTGGAAATTTGTAGCTTTTTTTGCAGATTGTTGGTACCTGCATGCCAGGAAACATCGAAGAACAATTAGCCAATCAGCATTCCGTTCCCAACTACACCACCACACCGTCGCCCATTCCTGAAGCCCCTACCGAAGCCCAGGGAGGAAACGCGGTCCAAACAACCAACGCCAGGCTTTGCCACTGTTCAACTCTGTATGCTAGTACCAAATCCCTCAGATAGTACCATTCAACACTTAACAGAAGAACTCTGTATAACTCGCCATTAACACAATCCTGTGTAGCGCCCAAAAGACCGAAAGCAGACTTCCTACAGTGAGAGGAATCATCTCGGCAGATGAAGTGACATGTCCACTCGATGTACCGAATCGGTAGATAGCCTAGAAATCCCACCTCGGAGCGAGCCGCTATCTTACATGCAAGCGTGTGTTGGTGTTATGTTGTGAATCGTGAACCAATCAAGAAACAGTGAACTGCAGATGGGGAAATTAAAGATCAATTCCGTACTCCTCCGCCTATGTTTCCAGGTGGAAGGCAAATAGTCATCCGGATGATACTTTTAGGAGGATCCGACAGTGTTCTCTGGTTCCGTGGACAGGTCGGAACCGTGGTATGTGGCAAATGAGCCACACCCACATCCACATATCACGTTGTTTTATGTTGTGCGGTACACAGTTAGTGTGTGTAGTGCCAATAGATAGTAACATGATTATCACTCAATCATCTTGAACAGAATAGTGGATACAGGGTATCTATGGAGAAGTAACTGGATTGAATAGAGCATGATCTAGAAGTGTGAAAGGGCTAGGCATGACTCTTCCTCGGTAAAAACACCAAACAATAAACAAGGGTTAGTTTGTAATTAGTTCCGCGCCGGCAATGCCGCTGAGTAATGCTCTCCTCTCTCCCTTATCCCTATACACACAACACAATTCTTTCCTCAAAAGCCTCGCCCTTGACTAAGCCCTTAACTAGCCCTAAACAGTCCTACGACCAGCGTCCATCCGTGTTGAATTGCGTATGCAAGCACTACCGCCAAGCAGACTATTTAATAACCATACGTAGGCTTTCTGTTCCTGAGCGGGAGATGTCCGTCTGTCAACACACGACGGAAGTCATCCATGGGCCAAGCCACGGCAAGAAATAAGGTAAATCAAACGAACCGTGGGAAGTCGTCAGCTACGATGGGATGATGCCAAAGAAACTGATTCGAGGGAAAGAGGGCTGGATGGACTATTATTAACTTTTTCTTCTTTTGCCGTTGAGTTGTTGGCTTTTTCTGGTGGTGGTGGCCGAGGGCATACGTAAGTGATGCCCCACTCCGAGGATGAGGCGCCAGCCAGTGGCGTCTATTGCTGCAATGTGATGGATTTTCTTTTCTTCTTAGGAGAGATGGCTGTTTTATGGTGTCAATAAGTTCAGACGATCATGTTTCCTCTCTACGGTTGGCGTTAAAATGCAGCCTGAGGTGGATTGTATGTTCATCCTCTCGATCGGCACACTCTCTCGGTCGGACCATCAAAGACTAAAGATAATACACGTGGAGGGGAGGGATCAATCAATCTTCTGGACAGAGAGAGAAAGGAGTTGCGGTGCTAAGCCAACGCTAGTCGATGCTTAACTCCGCCCGGCGCCAATTCTTGCGTCTTCATCTCTCCACTCCCAGGCGGTTTTATTTCTCTGCCTAGACTAAAGTCTATGTGGCTCGGATCCCGGCATCCAGTCACACACTTTCACACAATCTTTACCTCTCTATCAATCAAATTTGGGAGACAATTTCTTTTCTTTTTTCTGCACTCCCATTGTGTTTGTCACATTTGTGATTTAACACATGGTGTCCAGCAGTATTTCCGTAGTACACAGTATATGCTTCTGACCCACAGCCTAGAACCACTATCGTGGCGTTCAGGATTAAACTTCCCCAAATACAACAAACAGGTACCGGAATGCTACCATTCGTCCGAGCAACCATCCACCAGACCACATGGCGCCCTCCCAGCTGACGGTCCAGTCTTCCAGTCTTGCTGCCCGTCCACTGCAGTTTCTTGCTGCACCACGGGTTGACGACGCAAGGGGGCCGGATTACGTGGGGAGCAGAGACAGAGGATTGGATGAATGGGAGGGAGGGGATGGATAGGATGGGATGGCATGCCAGAGCCGTACCTGGATGGTGGAGCACCCCATCAACAAAATAAGAAAAAATAAGTGAAAAAACAATAACAACATTGGCTGGCGGAATCTACAAAAAGCCCCATCCGCCAACAGAGTGTCCATCGCGCCGCATTCGACGCATCCTCGTTCGCTCGCCATGGCTGTCTTGCGTTTCAGACCATCGCCGCCCTCCGTTTCACTGCCCTAAACGGGGCTATTGACCTTCGGCTTCTCTCTCTTTTAGTTGGCCCAGTCCAGGCGCACAGGTGCTGGCACTAGTCCAGTACACTCGTCAATTTTCCCACCATGGCGGCGCCTGCCTTGGCCCAATGCTGACGATTCCTTTTGCGCTGCCTGTCTCCACTTCCTCTTGATCGAGGCCTCCATCAAACCCACCATCTCCCCAGAGAGAGAAAAGACAGTCAGCCTAGAAGGGGGGGCCGGTTAGGGCGCAGTCCGTCTATATACCTACCCAAGTCGCCCCGGTTCTATTGCAGCCCCTCCCCGTTTTTATACCCTTCATAGCACACTCCTTATTGCTGTTGCTTTGCAGTATTCAGTCACTCCTTTTTGGACCCTGGTTATAGCGGTGTTAGAAAGACACACCCTAAATACCCTTCCAACTCCTTCATTTCGGGGACCGACCACTCTTCTCCCCCTTATCCAGCGGATACAGATTTCACTGATTGACTCACTGGTCTGAACCATAACATTTCTCCACCATGCAGTGGAAGTCACTCCTTCTGTGTGCCGCCATCGCCGAATCGGCCCTGGCTCGCACCCACGGCCACCAGCGCCGTCAACACGGTCACGGCCACGCCCAGGAGGCTCATGCGGCCGCCCGTGACGTCGAAGTTGAGGTGCACACCGTCGTCAACATCGAGCATGTCACCCTCACTACCACCGTCTACGGCCAGCCGACTGAAGCTGCCGAAGCCACTACTACCAGCAGCACCATCACTGAGGCAGCAGCAGCCACCACCACCGACGCCGCCGCCGCCGGAGCCTTCGTGGAAGTTGACTTGGATGAGGACCTCGCCATCAGCGCCAGCCTGGGACTCTCCCTCTCCCTGAGCCTGGGCCTGGGCGACGACCAGACCAGCACCACCACCCACACCAGCACTCACACCAACACAAAGACCCACACCGCCGCGTCCCAGACAGCTGCTAGCACCACCGCTGCCGCCACCAGCACCGGCAGCTCCGCCAGCGAGGCCTGGACCGCGACCCCCACCAACGGCGTCTTTTCGACCGCCGGATTCGGCGAGCGCACCAACAGCAGCAGCAGCGGCGTCACCTACAGCGGCAACGTGGGCAACCCCTGGGGCAGCAACATCCAGGAAGTCAGCGCCAGCGAGGCCTGGCAATACAAGTACGTCATCCGCATGGAAGGCAGCAACACCAAGGACTGGTTCGTCAGCTTCTGGAACAAGATCGGACCGGATGGAAAGATGGACGGATGGTACGGACACTCTGCGTTGAACTTCACTCTCGGCGCGGGCGAGACCAAGTACGTTGCCTTCGACGAGAACAGCCAGGGTGGATGGGGTGCCGCGGAGGGCGACAGTCTCCCTACTGATGACTATGGTGGTTACTCCTGCACCTGGGGCGAGTTCGACTTCGGAGATACCGATAACAGCGGCTGGTCTGGTTGGGATGTGTCTGCTATCCAGGCTCAGAATGCCGATCAGACGGTCCAGGGTATGCGTATCTGCCAGTACTCTGATAAGCAGTGCTCGTATATCACTACTGACGCCGAGACGGTGGTGAATGCGTACACTGCCTCTGAGGCGTCGGTGGATGGTATTGGTGGCACTGTGTCGTCGGGTGCGGTGCGCTTGACGGTTGAGGTGGATTATAGCTAGATGTGATGTTCTTTCTCTTCGGTTGTTGGATGTCGATGTGGATGTAGATACCTCTTTGACTTTCTTGTCTGTTTTGTTTCCATCTTTGTTGATACTGTTGTGTATATACATCGGATCATGGTGGATTCGTGGAAATATACATAGTTTTACCGATTAACTATATAAGGTATCATATCATCATTGGGTGTATGAAAGTAGTGGCACATGTAAGTAGGTATAAGAATAGACGAGAAATTGTGGCTGTCAATAGTCTATATACCTTTCTGTGATTTCGATCATCGGGATGTCTCACATTGAAACCGGGTAATTGGGGACGCTGATCCGATCGCGGTGGAGTGGAGCAACCAACGGTCTAAGTAAAGATCCTGTTTGGATGCGAGGGGAGAACAGTTCAATGCTGATCGAGGATCGGCCGGCGGTGAGACTCGCTGCAGACGATGCTCGGAAGGCTCGGATCGCTGCCGCTGTGCCACAAATTCATGGCTACATTTAGCACTTCTCAGTGCAGATTATCTTCATGGGGTCAGTTGGAGTGAGTGTTCATTGCCTAGACGGTATTATGAGGGATTTACGAACTGCCCCTTATACTAGTACTTGGTAGAATACTTAGATTCACATAGTAATACTACTGTGATTTAAAATTCATCTTTGCAGACAGGGGAAGTGATGGCCGGTTACAATATATACTTAGTACCACCCACTGTAACTTCAAAATCAATCACGACACGTTGAGTAGTGATGATATGACTTGGAACAGGTTATGTATCATATTAGCCCTTAACAGCGGGAAAGATATGACAGATACGACTCTACTAGTAAATAAGTGTAACTCTGCCTGTTCCTCACCATGAGGGTTCTTGTCGATGAGTGAATCGAACCAAAATTTTTGCTGCTGAAAAGATAATTGATTTATGTAACTAACTTAGAAGGCCTTCTTCAACAACCAGGTCCCATAGCTCAGTTGGTTAGAGCGTGACGCTAATAACGTCAAAGTCGAGGGTTCGAGCCCCTCTGGGACCATCTTTTTGCATACCAGGTTTTTTTGCTGGTCGCCCTCCCGCCCCGCAGAGATAAGAAGGCTGCAACTATCCATTGGGAAATTCTAGCAGCAGGACGTACAAGTCTACACGACTCTACCAGCTGGACAACATGATCCCGGTGATTCCCACCAAGAGCTTATCATATCGAGACTGCTACTGTACAACGAATGACAAATTTGGGAGCACAGCCGTCTCATCGACCAGTCACTGAAACACAATCGCATCGAAACCTTCCACCATTCCCTTACCTACCAACACTTCCCCATCCTTAGGAGATCAACCCTCACACAGAAGCTTGGATTATATACCCAAGTCTAGTGTCGAACCACATAGACAATGTCTCGTGGGCTCGAGGCCGTTCCCGGCCAGTTGGTCGTACAAAGGCCCAACTACTCGTTATCGGAGCCCGTCTATGATCAGCTCCCCATCCACCACTACAGGATCAGCGGAAAATAGCAAGTGTGGCTCAAGTTTCGCCATCCCGTAGTGGTGGTGGGGGGAGCTAATCATAGCAGGGGTCTGGAACTGATGCAGAAGGGCCTCTGTACGACCCACCAGTAAGTAACTAGCTTCCAGATCACGTCACTTTGCATAGGTAGTTCACGCAAATTCATGGAGCTCAAGCGGGCGAGTCAAGGCCCATAGCAGCCAAGACAGGCCGCACAGCGTCAACCGAGTTACTATCCAAATAGACAGCTCCGATGAGAGCCTCGACGGTGTTGGCCATGACTTTGTCAGACACCATGCCTGCCTGGGATGGATTGACAATGACCACTTTATCGAGACCCATCCTACGCCCAACCAGTGCAAGGTTGACGTTGCTGGCTTTGGTTTGCAGAATGTTGCTCGTGAACTCTGATATGAGGGTGAGTATACTGTTCTGGGCAATAAGGTGAGGCTTACCTCTGCTTCTTCTGGCTTCGTATCCATCCAGGGTAAGTGCCAGTTTGAGAACGGCATCTCCGACATGGGCAAGCTCCTTGTGGCCATCCATGCGGGTTGGCAGTCCGGGCAGGGCAACCCCAGGAGTTACTAGCGCCCCCATACAGATAGTGGGGTTATCGAAGGTGTACCCAATCGTGAGTTGGGCGGTTTGGACTTTGTCCTCGAGAGACGAGAACGAAGGCATGGTGCCGGAGTTGAGTGACGTGCTGAAGTTGAGGATGGATTTGAGCGAGATTTTGACCTGATCTAGGATGGCAGGGAGAGGGTTATATAACGGTAGTCAAGTTCATAAGAAATGGATGGGGAGCAGGAAACAAATTCGAGGAGGATGGCCCTTTTAACTCCTCCTGCGGGGCTGGGGAGGGGGCTTACCATATGATGTGCTGCATGTGCTGCGCCAACTAGCCTTGCAATTCGTTGATAAGCCTGCGTTGGGAATCTTTAACCCTTCCGTAGTACAACTGGACCAGTATTCATACAAGAAATACAGAGTTACCCTGTCTTCATCCGCTCAAAATGCCAAAACATACCTCTTTCTAGTAGAGTTACGAGACCATGAGTTTATATCATCGGAGAAAAAGAAGATGAAAATATTCTTGAACTGTTGTTCTGAGGTGGACCGCCCGTACCCCCGCAAGTTAAGCGTTGAGCTCAGCCTCGCGGGTTACCCCATTGATCCCGCGAAGGCTGAATTGATGTTGTGCCTAGCAGCACCCCCACCCGAATAGTCTGCCTTGGAGCATGGATTGTAGCTCAATCAAACCCTGACCAACAACACAGTGAAACCACCGTGCGCTAGCTATTGGCGGCTAGAGCCAGCACTCTCTCATCACGACTGTAGGCCCCAAATTGCATTAGATAGGCTTTCGCAGTATAGCGAAGATCCCCACGTCCTTCAATTCTCGCCTAGATAGCCAAAATGGGTCAGCAGAGCTGAACTCGTTGTTGGTATATGAGCAGGGGTGTTGTCAACTCTGATAAGTATTATCTGGTTTCCTCTACACCCATATTAATGCCGCCTACAACGCAGCCTTGCGAGACCAAGAACCAAGGGGTCAGTGGACCACGACATCCGTGGTCTATGAAAACAGAGTACCAAGGAATATGACCCCAAGCACACCCTTGCATAAAACACACCAATAGCACAAGTTGTCTCCATACTGCGTACGTATACTGGACCCTTCTCGGATGGAGTCACATCATGCGTCATTCCTGCTCCTCCTAGTTCTTCTACTCAGCTACTCATGCAAAACTACCCGAGCGACTGATTGAGGTTACTCTCAAGGATATTCAAGCGCTGTTCGGATCGCAGTGAATGGCAAGTCGTTCCATTCCAACCAAGATAAAAGCTACTCTCGCAGGCTTTTAGCAGCAGCGGAGGAAATCAGTAAGTATTGGAACAAGATCAGTGGGTTCCATTCGAGCACAGTGACGCCATTGATAAAGCGTTTAATTAGCAAGAGTGGGAGATAAGATTACACCGAGACGAGACTGGTTTTGAGGGTTGAGTTTTCAGAGGTGAGATTCAACTAGAATAGCCTGATAAAATTGTGTTTTCCGAATAACCACTGAGCCACCACCCATCCAAATGATGCGCCCACTGACCAAGGAAGTCAATTAGCACAGACACGGAAACGCCAGGTACCATACACCACATCTCCGACAATAGACCACACGTTTCACAGAGGACACGGAGAATCCGCAACCGCCCTCTCAAAGGGCTCAACTCAAACTCCCCGTATCCAATAAAGATTGCCACCCCTTTCATCTACTCTCTGACGGCATCTTCTTTTCGGGATGGCGTGAAAGAACGAATTTTACTGAATAGTCCGCGTTTCGGTTTCGAAAATTGCTCGTTGCCTTGAAGTGTCGAAGCGTCGGAAAAGGTACTCTCCGAATCGCCCTTTGATTGGTTTTTCGCCTCTTCTTTAGCAAGTTCGTCGATGAATGTGGGACTGTCGCGCGTGCCAGAGGGGTTCATGCGCATGGATGGAACTCGATTTGTGGGAGACATAGTGATCGAATAATGTGGGTTGGATGACGACTTCAAAGTCCAATTGCCCTTTGTAGTAGCTAGAGATTGGGATGATAGAAGATATGAAAGCGTTAGATGAAGCAATGCTGGATGAAAAAGAAATAGTTGCGTGAGATGAAGCAGCTTATAAGTATTCTGAAGATGAATATTTGAAATCAAAATCTTCTTTGTAGGAATTGAAGAGTGGGATTGTAGAAGTTGTATGAGAACCGTTCTAATGAAGCGATGCTGAATGGAGAAGACAGTTGCTCGAGACGGGGTGGCTTATATATTATAAATGTGGCTGATATATTGAAGTGAGGTATAGATGCTACAAGGCAACAATATTGGCTTCCAAAGGTACTGCCATTCCGGTAGGCGAGCATGTGGTGGACAAGACGTCTAAGAACAAACTTGCCCTTTCTTCCCATCTAGAACGCCCTAAAATTGAGTGATGGAGTAATTTCAGCCAATGAGGCGAGGGCAACTAATATGCAGCCTCACAGAAAAGAAATTGTAGTCGTATCCTAATCATGCGTTTCGAATATCCTTGGCAGACTAGGCACCGGGTATCTGTAAATTGGATGACGGCATAGACACCTTAGCCAGCAGACTATAGCCTAGTTGTGACTCAGGAGTCAGGAGAGGTTCGCTGTTAATCTAATGCATGATGTGGCTTAACGCCTAGACCACAGTCAGCAAGCGAGACCCTTGATTATGGCTGACCGAGGGCTTTAGAGCCCAAAGAACTGCCAAACATTACTACGACAATTGCGCATTTTAAGGAAGATATAGTACCTATAACCTAGGAATGAGGAAAGCATTCATATTCACTGAATATGCCATTTATTCTCCAACGGAAAAACAAATTTCAGATTTCGGATTGAAATCGAACTCAAAGTAAGGTCTTACCTGCAATAGGCGTTGAACACTTGGTGAGATAAATCGCGTCATACATGAATTGCAAAAAGTGAAATAAACAGAAAGAATCATTGTGCGACTCACAGAACATCCCTTCAGATGTTAGAACCCAGACTCTGCACGAATTTGGCAGCCTAAGCGACAGTGGAAGGGGCTATGCACGCAGCGGCTAATTGACGTTCAACAGTTGTTGATTAGGGCGGACTCAAATCGCGCTACCTTATCTATCCAATCAGCAACCACTCACACCATGGCATTCTACACGACATGGCCAATTGGACACAACGGATCTCTTCTGATAGTCACATGGCTATTGACGGGGCGACTTACAGTATGACTCAACGACACGTATATGCCTGACTGACATGAATAGGCCGCTGCTAGCCTGAGAGGCTCAGGCGCATCACGTGTTATGCCTACATGATGACAATTATACATACCGAGCACACCCCTTTATTTGATATAGGCACTCATTATCCTCATAAAGGTTTGAAGCAGAAAAATTCCACGACCTTCATAACTCGGTGAGAAAATTATAGCAGAATCGGCTGTTTTAGCCTTAGATTCATCCCTTCTCATCTTTCGAACAACACTTTGCGAGCACAAATCTTGAATAACCGAACTTACCAATGGCATATCTACCCGCCAATAGAACAGAACTACGACATCAGCTTGGCATCGAGCTTAGCACTCGGAGATATCCGAGCTCTTCCGATGCCAAAGGGTTCAGTGGCGCAATAGCTTCCAGTCTGGACCATCTCTTACGGTGCTAAAAAGCTTCCCGGCCAATCAGACCCACCGGGTACCTGATCCAGATTACTACTGTAGTAAAAAGTGCCGATCGGGTTCGTGAGTTTCCTTGATGGCCACACGCTATTGTCGCTTTAATTTCCGCGATACGAGTGGCAAAGCGGCGTTATGTGGTAGAGATTTTCAACTAGTGTGGATGATGTGTGGGGAGGCACTGACTCGAGACGTAGAGAGGGGTTGGGTCAGCTGTCTACACAGTCTGGTGGAAGCATATTGACTAATTCCTACGGAGGACTATCAAGAGAGTATTTCAACAGAGAAAGGGATATTGAAAGCAGTAAATTCTGACGAGTTATTCTTTATGGTACAATTTTTTCTACATTTCCTACAACATTATCCCTGTACTCCCACAACACGACCACAATTTCCGTTAGACATCTGGATGGTAGCCGAAGTGTCATGAGTAGACGCCTTGGCATAAACAGAAGACTGCGAGCAAGTTGTCGTGTGAATGAGATAGCAATATTTGATGGAGGAAGAAACCGCGTTGTAGTAGGACATGGCGCAGGTGGAGCTCTCCATGCAGCTGACGCAGCAATCATATGCAGAACTGGTGTCGCCAACGGTCAAGCTTTCACCGGGGACGTTGGTGAAGGCAATCAGGTACATGTATTGGCCCGCGAAAGAGCCATATTCTGAGGAAAGAGGGTCGCCAGCAATGTTGCTAGACCCGCATGCCTCGTAAAAGGTGGCGGTGGCCACTGCGGCCACTGCGGTGGTAGTTGAGAACACGGTGGTTGTTTCGGCAGCTGCGGATGTGGTTTCGATGATGGTAGAAGTAGTACTGTAGCTGAGTGTGGTCGAAACATCGGAAGGAACCACAATCGAAGTACTGGTGATGGTGTTGGTCACAGTAACGGTGGAGATAGGAGTGACTGCGGTAGCAGTCGCGGGGGGTTCGGTGACCGTGGAGACAGTTGTGGTCTTGACAATGATCTTCTGGTGGCACTCGACCTCTTGAGGGTACTCATAGTCGTCCAACCAAGAAGAACAATCGTCCTGCTCGATCAAGGAGCGCTTGGCAGCTGTAGCTGTAGGCAGTGTCTCCGCAATCGGAGAGAAGCCCGAAGAGCTAGCTACTGTGGACGTGCTGGTGCTCGTGGTCGAGACGGTGATAGGTACAATGGCAGTGACAGCAGCGGGAGTGATAGTCACAGTTGCAGTGTCATACTCAGTCGAGGTCGTCGAGAAAATATCAGTGACCGTGTCAGCCGTTGAAACGGCCGTAGTTGTCTCATAGTCTGTGACGGTCACAGTGGAGGCGTCAGGGGTCACAGTGACGGTGTCTTGCGTCGTCGAAAAGACAACCACCGGGGTCGGGTCATGAATAGTGCGCGTAATGGTAGTGGTAGGGACTAGTGCCAACGAGCTTGTTCCCAGCTGCGTACGACACGACACCGAGGGCACATAGGCCTGACTGCTTGCCACCGGGGAGCTGGCCGCGGGGGTGATAGCTGCGACCTGACCGAGCAGAAAGCCCGCGGCGACGACAAATCCGTGGATTGGCATTTTCACGGGTTGATAGAATATAAGCTTTGAGTGTAGGGCAGTCACTCAGAACCTCTGGTAGGTTCGGAGTGCCTCGCAATAAGTACTCCGTCCTTTAATCTGGGTGGGAATTGGGGTCGGCTATTTTCGCCGCCGTTGACAGACCCACGATCCAGTGGGCGTCAATAGTGCAGCTGAATACGAAGGCTGAGACAGGAACCAGGTATTAGCTCCGTCGGGTGTGTATTCCTCATTTGTAATCTCTTTGTCAATTATTCGACCGAAATTAGTATCTTGAGGTGATCTATATACAGTGACCCGCGTCTTGCAAGAGAGAATCAGGGCTCAGTTTCTCACACTCTTTTGACAGTTCATTCTCGAAATCCAAGCACAAGTCATTCATTCATGCCTCACGTTATCCGAATAATACTGATCTCCTAAATCCCACTTTCGTTAAATTTTCTTCATTCAGTACTGCTGAACTGAGTCGATCGCTGTCAGGATGGGCCACCTGCTGATGCGAGGATGGATCCTCGCCTCGTTATTGCTGCAAACCAGCATCGCCATGACAGTTGCGATTGAGCCAGCAGCTGCGACTGCTACCACTACTTCATCTGTTATCGCACATAGGCAGCATTACTGGTCCTATACCTCAAGGTCCTTGCCCAGCCGCAGGCCTTGCACACCGAGTTATTCATCTTCTGTTCCTTCTTCGAAGGCAGCAACACCCACCCCATCAATCATCGTGGTGCCCTCATCAAGTGCAGTTTCCTCACCCTCTACTTCGCCAGTAAAGGAGTCGCCAACTCCCAGTTCAAGGCCGGCACCAAGTCGCTCGGCGGCTCCCCACCCGCATTGGAGCTATGTATCCCGGCCTTTGCCTGAGCGAAGCCAGTGCTCGGCTTCATCCGGAGCTATCCCGAGCTCTTCACTCCCTGTTTCCGTACTCTCACAGATCACATCCAGCGCAGTTCCTGCGCCAACTACTGTTCGGACCAGCCTTACCCAGATGGATCTTTCCACATCCTTGTTAGCTGCAACAGTCACCGACTCTTCCATGCTGCAGTGGACCACGTCGGCAGTTCTCTCTACCCGTACGGCCACAATTACTGCATGCCCATCCACTATCCCGAACTGTCCTACACGCTCCAGAACCACCTCTGTGACAACGGAGACCATTGTGGTGTCCACCACAATATGCCCAGTCACCGAGGCCGCTGGTACGACTCGGACGGACTCAGTCTTGCCGACAGTAACGGACAGTACGGCCAACAAGGGTCATGGTAGTGGTGGGCTGGACTTCACAACCTCTACGGTTTTCAGCACTCGCACTGCTACCATAACTGCTTGCCCTTCCTCGGTAACGAACTGCCCGCTCAGGTCGAAAACAACCTATGTGACTACCGAGACCTTAGTAGTCTCTACCACTGTGTGCCCCGTAGCTGACAGCACTGGTAGCAGTGGTGCCATGATTACCGAGACCGCACATCCTCCTTCGGCTACCGTGGCTGTTGGTAACAGCGGGGGTAGCATGGGTAATTCTGACATTACCACTTCGACGATTTTGAGCACTCGTATCATTACCGTGACTGCATGTCCTTCTTCTGTGACAAATTGTCCCTTGAGGTCAAAGACAACTTATGCGAGCACTGAGACGCTTGTTGTCGGCACAACTGTGTACTCAGTCCCCAAGATCACAAGCACCAGGGCGAACGGTTCTCTGCCATCCGCCGCAGGAGCATCCGAGGTCGGACCATCGCTCACCACCTCTACCATACTGAGCACCCGCATTGCAACAGTCGCGGGCTGCACTGGAGATAACTGCAGTGGCTCTCCACCCGGAAGCGGTTATGTCACGTCGGAGACCTTCGTTGTAGCAACGACCGTCTACAGCGTATATCCAGATCACACATCCGTTCCGGTCGAAGGTGTTGATGCTGTGACTGTTACTACGACTTCTGTTGCAAACCACCAAGCTAGCAGCTCATCCGGTAGCACCCCTAATTTTGTGTCATCTGGATCGCACTCCATCTCTGCTGGCGACTCTACCTCTCAGGGTACAGGGTCAAGCGCAGGCTCAAGCGCGGGCATGGGTGCGGAATCAGATGTGGGCTCTGCTGCAGACTCCAGCGCAGTGCCCAATGCCAGTTCAGGTGCAGACAGAGCCGCAGTCTACACCACTACGATTACTGTCGAATCATGCTCCAATGACGGAACCTGTACCGAATACGGCACTACCATCACAATGGCCCAGACCTCCAACGTTGTTCAGCCCACCGTGTCTGCCTCTCCGTATTCGTACACCCCATACCCAGGCTCAGGGTCAGGATGGAACCAGACTGCTCCCGCCTCTTCAGCACATGCATGGCCCCAGAGCAGTCACCAAGCTGGCATGAGCACGGCCGTGACTACTAGCACAAGAAGTGCAAGCGCGGTTAGCGCATTTTATACCGGGGGTGCTTCTGCAGGTATTCGGTGGTCATTGCTGCAGGTGGTCGGAACGGCGATGGCGATGCTTTGGACTACCTTTGTGTAGTTGTGGGTAAACATATAGCTGTTTGTCGCTTCGGGAGTCCATTGTAATTAATTTTAATCAGTATATTTTCTGGATGATATACATTGCAACAATCGAGGTAGCATGGCGTGACATACATTAAACATATTGTTTCATGAATTATGAATTGTAGTAAAAGTAAGTGCATAGACTAGGACATACGTTCAAAGATGTGCATGTCTGCGAATAGACACCGCGCTCGATAACCAAGCGAAAAGTAGATTCATTTTTCATAAACTCCGGTACCAGTAAATAGCAATGGTCAGCAAGAGGGTGAACAGCATGGCATGGTGGAACCCTAAACTGGATTTGTTCGTCTTCCATCCAGGCCCATCCCTTTCCGGCAACGGCAGAAAATTGATTGCTGGACTACCCCGAATAGTCGAGGTTCCTACCCGCGCCGGAACATCCGCCAGAAAAGGGACGACATATCGCCCAAGCACCTTATTGGCAAGCCCATCTCGTGCTTGGAAGCGGGTCATATATCGTGAAGCGGTACAGATGCTCTTAGCACGGCTATAGCGTTTGGAATAGAACTCCTGAAGGAGTACCTGCACTTCCGAATCCGAGAGCCTCTGTCGTCTTGTCTGGAGTAGAGCTGCGTGCAGACAATTTGCCAGGACTACTGCATCTTCCATTGCCATATTGGCTCCTTGTCCAATGTTGGGTGTCATCTGCCATGGAAAGTAAGCACAAGTCTCAAAGCCTGTGAAGAGCACCACGTGCAAACATACCTTATGAACACTATCGCCAATACAAACAATGCGGTCAAGGTACCAGGTTTGGAAGATGTTTTCCTCTAACGGCGTCATAGCAGCAAGCACTCGGGTGTCCCACACCTGACGGAAGGTAAGATCTTTCGTCAGGTGGAGATGAGCCAGTTTCTCACAGGCTTGCGCCGTGTACTCCGCACTGAAGCGGGGGTTGTTGGGATAAGTGTATCTTTGATCCATCTTTTTCATGACGAACCAGAAAGCACGCTTATTCTTCCCAACAAGGATAATAAAGGTGAGGTTGTCATGAAATGCATTGATTTGATCTGCAACCTCCAGTCCTGGTACGCAGGATGATATGCCAAATATACAGCAGTATTCGGTTGTCATACCTTGAGAATAAATGAGCGAAGATTTATACAGTTATGGCCAAAGAAAACTTACTACTCTTCTCACGCTCGGTAACTAACCCAGGCCGGACCGTATCTGCTATCCTCCACATCTCTGAGCGCACCTTACTATGGATGCCATCGGCGCCTACCACTAAGTCACCCGTGTATGTCACACCGGCTTCGGTTATCACGTTGACGCGGCTTCCTACTGGACGGATTGCGGCAACTCGTTGATTTGTGAGGATCTTCGATTGATCCGGGTACTGAGTGTGCAAGATCTCGAGGAGCTTTTGGCGGTCGAAGAATGCAATAGGGTAACCGAATCTGCAATCAACGACCAGATTAGACCACGATAACCTTGTCCATATTCAAAGTAAAAAGAAGGAGTGGATTGTACTGGTCATGGAGAAGCTTCGGAAATGTACTTGAAAATGAAAATCCAACTGGAAAGGTGATGTGTGTTCGATAGAGGGGTTCAATAAGGGGCTCAATATGTTCGAATAGAGACAGTTGACCCAATATTCTACCCCCGTTGGGAAGGATCCCGATTGACGCACCCTCCTGCGGGCACATGTCGCTGCGTTTCTCGAGTACGATGTGGTTGATATTCACTCGTCGGAGGCAATGAGCTAGCGTGAGACCGGCAATCCCCCCTCCCACAATTATGACCGTAAATTGAGAAGCGGTCATGTCTGAGCTTCTCAAATAGTATAATAAGTACAATATAGATGTTGGGAATGTAGTGCACCTAGCTTGCTTTGGGTGTAAAGATGTGAATACATATGGTGCCTGGGTCCATGGCTTATCAAGGGAACTATAATGGTACGTGATACCAGTGGGTCAGAACAGTGCATTGGAAAAACCAATAGTATCTCATCTCGTAAGTGACCCAGATTACACTTATAATCTGATAAGGGTATTGCTTCTAAGCGATGTCTGGCTACAAAAGTAAGATTTCCATTTATTTACTGGGCCGATTGGCGTTCTCATCTCTGAGCAGGCGTGTTTGAATTCGGAAGCATACTGGTTGATGTACCTGTAGGACATAGTATAGCGAGATAGATATCAGATCTAGTGATACCTTTATTTGCTATAAGTCTAACTACACAAGTTATTGGGTGTATGGTGATACTCAACTCTGAGGCCATCAAATCCCTGATTTTCCGTGCGGATTTCGGTGTATGGGCATTCAATCATATAACAAGCCCGATATACCAAGGTTGTGTGAAATGGTCAGGATCAGAACAAACCAGACCAGCAGAGCCGGCTGGGCTTCTTTTACTTCTGTTGATTGAAATGATTGTCGCACTCTATATACAAACTTGTAGCAAGATAAGAGTATCGGAGTTTTGTTCCCCCGGGGGCAGCTTGCCTCGCTTCATCAAGCATTTCCTAGCCGTACGCCGTGGTACTACAAGTAGCGCCCGAGTTACACCAGAAACGTTTAATAAAAGGTCAAGTGGAATTCCAGAGGGCTTACAATGTCTGATGTAGAAAGCAGGATCAAATCACATGCGACGGATACTCTCGTAATCTTATTCATGAAAACTGTTGTTACTCTGTGCTAGCTGCCAAAATTTCCGTTTCGTCAGAAGGCCCTGGGATATGTGCGTCGTCGAATTGGGAATCTGGCGACATACTGCTGGCCTTGGATACGGACGGCTAACATGTTTGCTATCATTCATGATGTGGCGCTCGCCGGCGCCGTATGACGAAACCTGCATTGAAGCATCGATTTTACAGATATGTTGTCAAGTTGATGGAATTACATCTGGGGCACATGTTAAGACTTTGTTTGGAATCTTCCCTCGAAAAACAGGAGTTTTCTCAATCCTACATGGGAGGTGCAAATATTCCACAAAGTAGATACAGTGGCATAATAAATCTAATAATGGCCCGCTATCGAAAAATTAATAGCAATGGCTTTGGCTTGGGATGGTTTGTTTGTGCCATCACCACGATGTGGATTAAGACTAAATACCTATGATTTATAGCCAAAGAAACCTAACTATCCGGGGTTAATCATTGCCTCTGCAGCGTTTAACACTAGGGACTGAATTATTGAGGACGGATATAGAAATGGGGCAGTAGTCAGAAGCTGCATTTGCACTAAGTGAAACTGGACATGTAATGCAGCCGACAAAGCGCAGCAACTTTCATGATAAGCCCGATGTAGGCAGTCAATTTGGGCGTCTTTTCGATACCTAGTCTCTGCGGAGTTGCTGATTTGTTTGTTACGGCACAAGGACCGTCTTGACTTCTTAGCGAGCTAACAGCCAAGTTACACGCGAGGAATAATTTCATCCATATATCTACCCTGTACGTCCCGTGGCTACCATTTGATTTTAATTCTAATACCGAACCATATACCATCTGGTCAACTGAATTATATGGAGCCTTCTCCATTCTTCAATATGGTTATCATCATGGAGCCTCTCCAGCACCATCTTCCGCAAAATCCGCTGGTTTTTCTTGCCTTACTGGCCGTCCCGATAACCGCGCTAGTATGGGATCGCATATTGAACCCACTCCCAACAACAAAACGGGCCTGGCTTGTTGGCAAGAAGCAGCCATCTCGGATCACTTCTTTGGAATGCCCCTACAGCTACATTCGTCAGATATATGGTAAACACCACTGGGCCCCATTCGTCGACAAGCTGGCGCCCAATCTAAAGTTGGATGACCCGCCGAAGTACCGGATGATCCTCGAGATCATGGACGGCATTCACCTTTGCTTAATCCTCGTTGATGATGTAAATACAGTGGCCCCAATAAGAACCTGGACTAAGAGCTAATCACCCCACCAGATATCGGACGGGAGTAACTTTCGCAAGGGTCATCCCGCTGCGCACAAGATTTACGGTCCTTCAGAGACTGCGAACCGTGCCTACTACCGCGTGACACAACTTTTAAATCGGACCGTCCACGAATTCCCTCGTCTTGCACCCTTTCTGATGCAGTGTCTGGAGGAGATCCTGGAAGGCCAAGATATGTCCCTTGTTTGGCGAAGGGATGGCCTTGCCAGCTTTCCAGTGGCCCCAAAGGAACGGGATGAAGCATATCGCCGAATGGCGTCGCTGAAGACAGGTGCATTGTTTCGATTGCTTGGTCAGCTGGTACTAGAGGATCAGTCCATGGATGCTACCATGACTACGGTGGCGTATGTGCAAAGATACCCGAATAGTGGGACCTGGCTGACTGATTTCTGCACAGGTGGTGCTCACAGCTGCAGAATGATTGCAAGAACGTGTATTCGACCGATTATGCAAAAGCAAAAGGCGCACTTGCAGAGGACCTGCGCAATGGCGAATTTTCATTTCCCATAGTGGTGGCATTGGACGCTCCTGAGGGTCATCTGGTAGCGCGTGCCTTGGAATACGGCTCACCCTATAATATCCGTAATGCTTTACGGGTCATCCAGAGAGAGGATGTGCGTAGCGCCTGTTTGTGGGATTTGAAGAAATCGAGTGCCTCTGTGAAGGACTGGCTGGAAGTATGGGGTCGGAAGGAGAAAATGGATGTCAAAAGTGGGAAGGCCTGACCGGAAATCCAGATAGACGCATATGTTGCCTAGTGCCGGGATTTGTTGCATTACTCCTGATTTGAGACCAACTAGTGCTTTCCCTAGATGTGTTTCTATTGCTACCTCCGATAAGCTTTGCACTGGTGCACAAGCATAAGGCATGATCAACAATGCGAGGTTGTGCTGTATAGCCATTCTACATGTTAATTGGCAGCGCTTCAAAACCAGAGTTTAGCTAACCCACTAATTAGCTGGACACAATCACCATTTTCGTGTTCTATGGAGACGGGCAAGGTAGCTGAACGGAGTAATTTTATCAAACCAAAGTTTCCTTTCTCCGACCACCCAAGCGACCTGGTCGTGTTTTGAACTTCCAGAACGCCCTTTAGCAAACATACTGTTAACCACCTAGGAGGGACATACGGACGTGGAGCTAATTGTCTCTACCCTTCGCAAGAATAATATGGTATCTAATGCTCTTTAGATGACCAGTCTCATGACAAGATGCCCTTTGTGATCTTTTGCTGACTAGACGTGCTTTTAACAGCTTGCAGAAGTTGTTAATTCGCTGATGACCAGGGACCAGTAAAGCCGTGCCAGGTAATAGGCAAAACACGTAGCAAAAGGCGATACAACCGTATCACATGAGGCTCATAAGAAAGTTGTGCTCTTAAATGTCGGTACATAGAAATAGTAGTGCCTGTTTATCGAAAGCTCGCATTCATCATTTTTATAACTTTCTTCTTCACCAAGACTTGATTCATAGAGCGCCTTCGACCTGCAAGGAACGAAAGTATGCTGGGATTCCCAATGTTTAACCCAGCTACCCCTGATGCCTGGAAGATGAATACCCCTTACTTTCCTTTTGTTTCACCGGGGTTATTTCCTGCATCGGCACCCTCGTCGCCCATCAACATAGATGCCGAAGCTTCCAGTTCCCAACAGTCGGAAGCAAGCTATCTGGATAAGGAGAAGGTCGGTCTGATATATCCTGCTCTTGGACAACCATTGTCTGATACACAAAAACAGATTGTTCGAGGACCACTTGACTATCTTCTTAAATCCCCTGGAAAAGACATTCGTCGGAAGTTCACCCACGCGTTCAATGAATGGCTGCGCATTCCTGAGGACAAGTTGAACATTATCACAGAAATTGTTGGGTTGCTTCACACAGCCTCCCTTCTGTATGCTCTCTTCATCTCCCAACTAAACCAAACCACAATAAAATTATCCTGATAGTCCACTGACTTCCAATAGAATTGACGATATTCAGGACAATTCCAAGCTTCGACGCGGCCTCCCAGTGGCCCACAGCATTTTTGGTATTGCGCAGACAATCAACTCTGCCAATTATGCGTACTTCTTGGCTCAGGAAAGGCTCCGCGAACTGAATCATCCCGAAGCGTACGAAATATACACAGAGGAACTGCTTCGTCTGCACCGCGGCCAAGGTATGGACTTGTACTGGCGGGACTGTTTGACCTGTCCCACGGAGGAGGACTATATTGAGATGATCGCCAATAAGACTGGTGGCCTATTTCGACTGGCGATTAAGCTTATGCAGTTGGAAAGCGAAACGAAAAGGCATGTATTGCAAATATCTATCCATCACAAATCTTTAGCTCTTCTTGTTACCTGCAAACTGACTTTGTGCAGCAATGTCATCGAACTAGCAGACTTGTTGGGGGTGATCTTTCAGATTCGGGATGATTACCAAAACTTACAGAGTGGACTATACACCAAGAACAAGGGATTTTGCGAGGATTTGACGGAGGGCAAGTTCTCCTTCCTGATTATCCATAGTATCAACAGTAACCCGAACAATCACCATCTGCTGAATATACTACGGCAGCGGAGCGAGGACGATTCGGTGAAGAAATATGCTGTTGAGTATATCAATTCGACGGGGAGCTTTGATTACTGCCGGGAACGGCTCGCTTCCTTGTTGGAAGAGGCGGATCATATGGTCAAGAAGTTGGAGAATGAGGCTGGACAGTCAAAGGGGATTTACGATATTCTGAGCTTTCTGTCGTGAAAGTTTTGATAGGCTGGGCATCATGTTCTTTTGCAGTTGACCGAGACAAATTGAACTACGTACATCCTTACACGCTGGCGTTTATATACAGGCAGGTGCCCTATCATACATAGGACTTCGAAGTTATCAGCTCTCAATGGTGCTAGAGAGGGGAATGACCGACATTTCAGAATAGGAATCTGCCACGGCCGCTGCGTCAGAGATGGTATGGGCCTTACACGCTCGGATTAAAAGATTTCATGCAAAAGTCAAGCAAATAGTCGGGACAGTTACTTCAAGATGCGCTGGGACGTGGTTGTTGGGAGTGTTGATGGACGGACCGTGCAGCGTCGCGTTGAGAATCAGTTTGGGTATGTATGAGTAAATACGCCGTTTTGGAGGATAGCTTGCCAATACAAGGATCAAGTTTGCGCAGGGCAAATTTTGAATTCTTTGCTGAAGTGTTCGTGAGATTTGTTTGTCTTGCGACAAGTGATTGGTTTTTGCTCTCGGTTGCATTGGATCTTACACATGTGGCAGGTTACGGGATAGGGTAGGAGAAAAGGGACGCAGTGCCCAAAAATATGGAGACACAGCAGACCACACATGGGCTGACATATACTTGACTCACTGCAGTTTATACCCACTTGTCGGTAGAGGTGCGTGCTTCGGGCGGTTTCTAAACTATGTTGATGCATGCTTATTCTGCATACATTTGCCGGGTTGGTATCTAGCCTACTCGGTTTCCAGTCCTTTAGGACGCTTAATAATGTCGATAAGTTACCGCATGGGCTATTCCACATCCACCAACAAAATTTTCCCATGTTGTTCACCAACTGTAGTTCATATTTGACCTTTGAAAATATCAATAGCTGAGGTACATGAATCCTGATACCACTGTCTACATGGGCAACGCTGAGATTTACCAAAAGAATTTCAAACGCAGCAGAAATAAAATGTCACATGAGTAAGGAAGTGACACGAGAAAGCTTTGACCATCTAGGCCAATGCACTTTAGGAGGATCTGGTACATCAATTCGCTTTTCTGTCAGGAAGAGATCAGGTCCGACGGCTAACCTGAGACATCAACAATTACACAATCGCTCAAGCACCACCCTCAGACACGACTTTATTTATAAATCGAAGGTTTGTCCCCAGAGAATTTGCCGTGAGCTGGAGGGCCAGATTCCAGCGTGAAAATGTCACGGCGAGAATTCGGGATGGAGCGTTGGAACAGGGATTTTTCCTGGTGAGGCATGCTCTCATATTCCGGCTTTCTCTTCGAACTACTCGAACTCCGTCGGGCAATACTCATGGAGATGTGCAATATTATGCTGGGTGGTGTATATATTTAGCCTTCTGATCTTCCGAAAGATTCAGCAGCATAGCAGAGTTTTGAGAGTCTTTAAGGCCCAGTTAGACGTTGTCAGCTCCTCGGACGGGGAACCATCAGCACTACGCATTCCAGCGTAGCGCATCACTGCGCCGATCTTGGTGGCTTGCATCGACATGGTACGAATCTCGTGCTGACGTGTCTCATCAAAAGCACGACAGTGGGCCCAGAATTCATCCCAAAAGGAACTGATCATGCGTTCACGGCACGTATAACTGTGCCAGCCGCTGAGATCATGTAACCAGTGGATAGTAGCAGAGTGTCCAGTTCCATGCCAAACGGCAGTACTTTAGCTAATGACCAATCAACAAATACCAGTAATCTCAAAGTTGTCCTCGCTGATAAGGATGTTTGCTTGTGAGAGGTCGTTATATGTCAGGACCTGCACATATTCTTGATTGAACAGAGCTGGAAGACTGCATTGAAGTTCCAAAATTGTAGTGAGGAAGAATATAAGAGGTGGAGTGTTCCTTATTTTCTCAAGCCGGCGATAGATTGCGTCTCAATAGCTTGCCGACACCGTAGGATCTACTGATTGTGGATTTTACCAACACCGAGCGAAGTATCTAGAGAGCGTTAGTACTTATGGTCGCTTTATCCGTTTCCGCGAATGGCGGCATAGTATCAACATAGGGGATGGAATAAGAGACGATCTACCTGGCTATGTGTTTGACAAAGCACATGTATCTGGCTTCTTCTTTGGGGCTCAACTCAGTTTCAGTGCTGAATAACTGTAGGCAGGGACTACCTGATAAACAGGCCATTGTATAAACGAGCAAATGTGGGTCTGAACCTGGCATTTTGCTGTGAAAAGTAGCTTCTTGTACCAGATCGCCGTGGATGAATCTTGCCAGCTCAATGACTGTTTGGTCCAAGGCAGACTCTTGTTGTCGAACAGACACGATCAGATCTCGTCGCTCCTCTGAGCTATCTGTGCAGAGAATTGTGTAGCTCAATGAGCCCGGAATGGCAACTTCTTGAACAGTGGAAGCACCTGTGATCCTACGAGCGTAGTCATCGCAGTCTAACTGGGTCGGAGATTGACGATATTCGAAGAACCTATCGACTGTTTGTTGAGCCCAAGATCGCTCATCCATCATCGTTTTAGAAGCCAAGTTGTCTGTACTTGGCTTGAGAAACTGTGCAAGGAAGGCAGTATGAGGGGATAGCTATGTGCAGGATGCTCTGCTGCAACAATGAGAAAACTCATCATCTGCGCGATCGAGCCCTCGTTGACAGAGTGGCTTCCATTAATCACGTGGGTGCCGCATGTCAGAATACACCACATCATGAGAAAGCAATTGCTTCTGGTGGTAAATTGGTTGTGATTTTGAAGGCTAAGATACATTATTCGGGCAAAACATTGTGCTGAATCATAGATTGCACCGCGTCTCTCACACTCTCCTCTAAGCCAATGTAATCCCACTGACTACCCTTTCCCTTCGAAAGTATATCCAAGCTAACCCCCGTATCCCAACCGGTAGGGTGGATTCCCTCAGGCAGCACCTTATCCGGTGTACCAGCTGGTACCTTTTCGCGCAATTGAGGGAAATTCTTTCGGATAGTATTCACGACCAACTGTGGCGTAATGAGCCCTGAGACAAGCACGATACGCTGTCCTCCAGCAGCGGGATTGGTAAGTGCATCTACATGGCTCCTAGCCACGTCGCGCACGTCGACGAAGTGATAGTATGGAAACCGCATGTCCTCAATTTTGGGATGAGTCCCGTCGATGAAACTAGCAATCGCAAAATAATTGCTTTCGTTGATCGATCCCTTCCCTGAGATTGGATGGATCATCGGTCCGGTGACGATAAGAGGGTTGATGACCGTGAAGTCGAAATTGGGACTATTTGCCTGCATGAAATCCCAGGCTTTACGCTCGGCTTGGGTTTTGGAGATGTTGTAACCCAACACAGGGTCGTTACAGTCGATGGCTTGTTGTGCAGTTACCTAGAGTTTCATGAGCCAGGGAATTGCCGATTTCAATTTGAGACGAACTGGATTCCAGCTTTTCTCGGTATATGGGTGTCCTTCTCGACTCATGTCTTCGAAGGAATCGAGTACGGAAACACCGCTGCCCAAAAGGACAATGCGTTTGAGCATGCTTCCACCGTGTTGGTGAGCGCTTTCCAGGATTTGAGTCGTGCTAAAAGTACAAATCAGCGGTTACATCATGGTTGCGCAAAGAGTTCTTACTTACCCCTTAACTGCCGGATCGATCAAATCTTTCTGAAAATCCTCAAAGTCAAACTTGAATGGCGATGCCGCATGGATAACATAGTCAAAAGGAGCTTCGGCCTCCTCGAACAAGGTGCTGAATGGTTTCTGTGAGGTGAAATCCGACACGATTACAAAATTAACCTTCCCTTGCCATTCGGGGTGAGTCTTGATCACATCGTCTGCTTTGGCCTGAGATCGCACTGTCGCAGTTACCGCGTAGCCACGCTGAAGTTGTCAGCTACTACACGTTGCTTGCAAGTCGGACTCACACACCTCAAGGAGTAGGGAGAGGATATGGGATGCTACAAACCCATTTGCCCCAGTCAGAAGGACGCGCTGGCCACGAGTTGATGATACCATGATGGCTAGTGCTTTGGAGACACCTATATTTGGCTGTACGAGTATACTATCCCTTATATATCAGCCACACTAAATTCCGACTGCTATCCAACCCCAGATGTCTGTATGGCTTTTTATAAGTCTCACGATTATGTCATGTTCTTTGGGTTGGGAGATGCACCATGGGAAGACCGCCCGATTGTTATAAAGTCAATTATGATCAGGTTTTGGGCAAGTGATTGATTGGTGGCTCATCTCGGTCTATCTTGTCTGACGAAAGTAAAAACACCCTCAACAACTTTCTAGTGTTCTCCATCTCGTTTGTCAGGTGCTTGTTCGAGTAGTGCCCACGGATGGTCTAAAGTTGTCCCATCTTCACAGATAATGGCTGCCAGGGAAGCATTTCGGTACTCTATCTTTCTCATCCATATTAAACATTCGGCTATCCAGATTCGTAAGATAACAGACAAAATTCCCACGAAGAGTCGCCAGCTACCACTGCCCTTAGCTGGCTCGTGTTTTCCCACTCCGCACAATAGCAGGTGATGTTCTGGAAGGTCACCGTTCCATCTTTATACATATTTTCTAGGCTTCATATGCAGTCCTTTTCATGAGATCCCTGTCATCGTGTCATCGGTGTCCCATCGTCTATATCGAGCACAGTATCATTCAGTTTAGGTGTATTTCAATGCAGCGTACGACATGGTAGCATATATGGCTAAAAGTGGAAAGTGATCATCTAGTATTCAAGAAGCCAACCAGCAAATATAATTAAATCAAAGGACACCCACACCGGTGCCAAAGACATGCATTAATTGGAAACCAATAGTACAGGCCGAATGACATGCCCGGTCTTGCATATTAGAGTAAATGGGGGTCTAAATCACCCCTAGCCAGTAACTTCCAGTGGAAACAAGTCCTTGTCCAATTGGGTCACCAGAGTTCAACCGGAGGAGGGATTGACCTCCAAACACTTCTCATCACATCCGGCTAAATTTCATGGAATAGGTGAATGGACCTGGGCGCCAAGTACAACTGCAGACAACACTCAGTACCCCGAAGGAAGACTATAGTGAGGGCCCATTGTACCTATCTCGGCAGTTGTCGGCGCTCTGAATTGCCGTTGTTACATGCACTAAACGCTGCAGGATGCTAAGCGAGGACGTCATGAACGACTAGTCCAATGTCCAACCAATGCCAAGATGGTTATTAGTAAAGGCAAAGAGGCTAGCCAGACCGCTCCGTCCATTCAACAGCGTGCCACAAGGACCTTAGATCATAGATGGCTGTTATGGTTATGGGGCGGGGCATCTGAGACATGTCCTTCATTTCGTGGGATGCTTGTGCTTCACATCGGCGCATCAGGGTCTAGACTAACGAAGTAAAGTACTAATGCTACGGCCCCACCGGTGGGGTACACGGCAAAAACTACTCCACAGGGATTATACTAAGGAGAGCTACACTGGAGGTGCATGCTTCGGATTTACTGTCAGTGCGCATAAAAGAACGATTGTATTGGATACATGTGCAAGAAGTACAGAAGAACATTGTCGGAGGAACGGCAGACAATTCTTTTCGGGTAGTGCAAAATAAAGCGTCCCTACCTCGGAAGGCTATATCTTCCCGGCAATTCGATCAGAGTGGTTGCCGGATCTAGAGAGCATTTGCGATAGCAGTATATGCAGGCTTCGGGTTGTAGTTGCTGTCAAACAGCAGAGGAGTGGAGCTGGAGCGCCAGGAGTCCTGAATGAAATTAGCTCAAGTCATAAGGCTAGTTTTATTATCCGGACTGCAGGGGTATTTACCGGGTCAGCAACTCCCCACACGGTGATACCGATACACTTGGGCTGGTCAAGGCAGGCTTCTACGACCTGTGGATGCAGAAATTAGTATCAGTCAATCACACTATGTACTTGGCTTGTCGTGACCTACCTCCACGTAGTCGGTTGAGCTGGCGCCAGCGATGTCGAGCTCGGTGACCGCAATCTCCTCGGTGCCCGCACCAGCGAGAGCATTAAGAGCTGTAAGGGGCTATCAGCTACCGTCAGGTTGCATAACGGGGAAGGGGTACTTATCCAGAAATTCCAGCACCTCCACCAGCGCTCAAGTGGGTTTGGGAGCCTTTGAAGAATGGTGAGTAATGGTAGCGGGATAGCATTAACCACAGGGGCCTTACCAATTCCGTCGATAGGAATACCGGCTGCGATCCACTTCTTGACATGGCTGACCATGCCAGTCAACTTAGGATAGGAAGCGGAGTCCAGGCTTTGCGGAATTTAGCATCCGGTTTGGAATGGAAACTAGACAGTCACGGCTTACTTGTAATCGTTGATGTAGAGCTTTGCGTTGGGATCCGCAGCTCGAGCAGTCTCGAAGGCAATCCGGACGTAGTCCTCGCCGATGACTTTGTAGAAAACGCTGTCGCGGAGGGAGCCATCTTCGTTGAAAATTTCGTTGACAACGTCCTTGCAATCATTAGTGATGAGACTTAGTAAAAATGAAGGTTTTCAGTTTACCCAGGCGTAGATCTTGCCCTTATAGTGCTGCATCACTGTGGTGATGTGATTCTTCATAACCTCGATGAGTGTATTCTTGTCCGTGATGGCTTGAACCCAAGAGGGGAGCTGAGAGTGCCACACTGGTTGAGTTAGCTTCACTATCTTGGTATAGTTTTCAGTTCAGTCAGTCAAAAACTTACCCAGCGTGTGTCCACGGATCAGCTTGTTGTTAGACTGGGCAAAGTTGACCTAGGTTTTGTTAGCCTCGAGGACGGTTAACGTAGAGGGTTGGGAAATTCTATGCGTACCAGATAATCCGATCCCGAGAAAGAGAACTGTCCACGGCTGGCTATAATTCTGATTAGGTCTAAATAACAACGATAACTATGAGAGATTGTACTTACGCTCAGTGGCATCCCACTTCATGCTGTTCTCCGGGGTCAAGGCGCCAAAATCGGCCTTGATAATTGCCGGTGTCTTCGAGTTCTTGGTCAAGGTGTACTGATCACCAATGTTTCCCAGATACTTCTTTCCGTGAGCCTTGAATTTGGTGTCGATGCTCACTGAAGCCTGACGGGGTTCAATGGGTTCTGAAAGTACATGGCTAGCGAAAAGCATCGCCAGTGCAGCTGCCTTGATCTGAACCATGTTGGGCAATAACGACCTATTTGCAAAATGAAGATAGAGTCAAATGAAGATGATGTTGGATTAACAGATTATAAGATGAATTCTACAAGGAAGAAGAGAAGTTGAAGTATTTATATACCACGAGACTCAACGTTTCTGGGCGAAGAGGATGTGAAACTGGAACACAACCAACCGTGGAACCAAACATCCCGCTCGAGCATGTCTAGATAGTAGAGGATTGAATTCATCTGCCTCATCTAGCTGTCTACCGAATTTCCCAAATTGGGAGGATGGCATCCGAACCAGAATTAGCCTGAAGGGATGAATAATGGCGTTTAGGCAGGCTATCCGGAGCTCTTGACATGTTTGGTTAGAACAGGCTATGTCCTTAGCCGACACATCGAGAAGCAACCGTACGATAGTGTTGTAAATTGGAAGGCGCCGATCTACTCACCAGAAATCAAGGAATTTCAGGAGTGGAGACACT